TACAGATGATGAATCAAACGTAAGATAAACTTAGTTGACAAGTGAGTAGACTGGTAAATTTTCTATGCTCAAATTTAACGCAGTTCTCATGGGAAGCAGGAGCTTCAGTTATTTGAATCGGCATACTTTTACTAAAGTGTACATTTCGATGTACTGAAAAACTTGGTCTTCTAACATTAGCAGCAAAGTTTTTTGATGTGTTTCTATACATCTTCCTTCTTCACTAACCAATAAGGCTATGAAAAAATCTCTCTCTCTTGATTTTAGTAAACTACTTTATACTCAGACTGATGCAGTAGCTATGGAAAACCATCTGGGTCCTACTCTGGCTGATATATATGTATATATATATGGAAAATTTAGCGGCAGATGAAATGGAATCCATAGCTAAACAAACCAGTCTTATGCAAAGTATGTGAATGAAATATTCTTCCTCCATAAAGAAATGATTCACACACATATCAACGCGAAGATCAGTTTTACTTACTTTATTTATCTATGAGACTATAAGGTGATAACGCAGTCTAGAATAACCGGAACGAATAGTATTTAAACTGCTAATGTCTGTCTGCTGCGTTGTAAACAGGAATTGGTTCTAACTGTTTGAGAGATCAAAAAAGCTTTCCTCAAAAGTTAGACTTCATGAAGATAAGTACCTTCTCGGGAAGCATTTGTTTGAAAACAGTCATCCGAAGAAATTCACAAGTTAATAGGAAAAAAAGTGTGGTAATAAAATAAGTTGGTACGGTTGTGAAAATGGCAGTATTTATTCATTTAACTTTCAAGGAGATGGTGTTTTACATCGAATGAACAAAATATTTAAAAGTTACCCCAGCTACAAGTTATCTGGCAACTAGATTTGTGCATGGGAATAACAAGAAGACAGAAATCCACTCAACCCTTCGAAAATACTCCTGAATGTGTAAAATTGAAGTATTCCTAGTCCTTCACTCAGCCAGTCACCTGACATCTAGCCAAACCAAGACACAAAGCGGATATTTCGACTGCTTCTACCACTACCAACAGGCGACGAAATTCAAATATAATTCGTTTGTTTGAACCCAGTGCTATCAACAGATCCCAACATTTTTATTCTATTTTTCTCTCCCTGCTTTCTGTATTGTCATTCATTTATGTATTCATAATTTGTTGGAATAAAATTCACTATAAACATTAATCATGGACATTCATTGCTATATATTCACTGCCATTTGATTGTGAAACCTGATGTAATATTAAATGTTACATATGCGTATTACCACACTCATACACACGTGCTTTAAAATATGTTCTACTAACAATGTGTTCTCATATACTTCTAAAAATTCTGATGTCAGTGATTTAGTGCTATTACAAAAAACATTAGTGATATAAATAATAATTATTCTCTAATTATTAAGCATATTCGTGAAGCCAGCTGGAATATTTGTCGAAAAAATTCTCATGAAGTCATCTGGAGATCGGTAATCAAAATATGGGGTGTGGAAAATAGTGCATCAATCTTGGTATCAGAAAAGAATTTACTACGGAAGGTTCGAAAACAAGGGTAGCTTAGACTACCTAATCGTTCCGGCATCCATAAAGCTTAGGATAAGTCCTATACACGTTCTATAAATATGCTTGAAAGACATACAGACATCTATTTTAAGCCGTGTTTTGTAATTCACGAGGCTTTTACAACCAGAGTTTCTGAATCATGTGAATCTGTCTAAATGGCTCACCTGTGTCCTGAGTGAGCCACAGTAGTTGATTAATGTGTCTCGATATAACAATAACAAGTAAATTATCGTTAGAACTTTCATGTAGATAAAGGATACTAATTGTCGATTTTTCACTCCTCCATTTGATTCATTATTAGTACTCCCTGTGGTTCCACATAGAAAACACAGCTCCCCTGTTCAGCTGGCACCATGATTAGCCATAATTTGTCACCTCCTCATCCTCCTCGCCAATCGAACTCCTTCGTGTAACTCTCACACCAAGGACACACTCGTCGTTTCCCATACAGGTTCCACTCGAGTAATAACCTGGCATGCGTGGTAATTCGATGGTCACCTCAGATTATGCCTAATAATTTCCATTTTCTTCCAAATATTTGTTGAGCAATCGGCTCTCGCCAGTTGATTTGTTCCCAGCCCAAGTTTCTGGTTGCTAATTCTCTCTGGCCAGCTGGCCATTTGACCTTCACTATGGAGCCAGCCGGTGAAGGCAGCTGTTGATGAAAGTCTGCAGCTGTTTGTTAGAAATGCTTTTCGTGACGCACTCACTGTGCAAGTTTCTGACCCATACAGAAGCGAGTGACTGACTTACTTGACATATGAACACAACTTGTACACTGTGGTAGAGTATAATTGCATTATGTGTAAAATTTATTCTGATAAAGTCTCATAGTATCATACAGTAATATTTACTGAGCACAATTTATTGCTCATAATCATATCAAGAGGCTCAAACAACGTTTTTGCTACGTTTCTGCACATGAGTAAAGTTGTGTGAGTACCTTGATATGATTATGAGCAACAAATTGTGCTCGAAACGTCGTCAGTAAATATTACTGTTTAACAGTGTGGTACTTTGTCAAAGTGTGTCAGTGGCACAGTGGTTAGAACTCTCGCCGACCATGCACATGATCCGAGGTTCGATCCCCTGCCTACGCACAACTGATATCTATGGTCGGCCTGCAAAATTTGGGCTACCGATATCCATGCTGAAAATTCCATACTTGTACAAAAAATACAGTGTGGAATCAAGCTGTAATCAAAAAAAGTAAATTTTACACATAATGACTGAATTGACATTGGCGTTGATAATCTGAATCTTCTTCCTCATGTTGGCTGATTCAAGCAGAAGATTTCCAAACCGATTTCCGATTGATGGAAGCGTATCTCGTCTTTTCGTTACTGGTTGGCTTAGGCAACTTCATCCGTGCGATAGTCTGCAATTGAAATGATGTTACCTAGAATGAGTTAAGGAAGTGACCTCTTTCGAAGCTATTCCACTGAAGGTGATTGGGGCTGGTTGGTTACCTTCATCACCTCCGTCTTCTCTATGTTCCCGTGGAGTCCTGTCTTCATATTATAGCTGTTCTGCCAGTTTGTTGGTTGATAAGCCTACATTATATGAAGATGCATAATCTGGTTGAGACAGATACAATAACCAGACTCTGCTACGCATTTAGTTTATTAGCTCAGTTTTTGAACAAATAAACCCATCCTAAGGAACCTTTCCGCTGCTCCTATATTCAACTAACTGTTTCTTCTAATAAGTGCAGATATTTTACGTTCAGAAAATAAAATGTATCTTACCAACAACATCAATAAGTTGGCAACACCAGCTATCCCATCGGCATTTCATCACCTGCGTACACCTTGCAAGTGTTGCACAGTGTCAGCTGACTGGAGACTCCAAATTGCTGTTATGCACATTAAAATAAGTGACGAAAAATTATTCGATTTAAATGAAAAGTGTAATAACAATAAGGTTGGAAATGTTAGTTATTTATCTTATGAAGACTTTTAGGAGTGCTTTAATCCGTAGTTTTCAAAACGGATACTTCTCTCCTTACAAATCCCGGCAGGCCACAGCGTTAGCAATATTAATGAACTTCGTTTAGATGAGACTATGTGAACCCTGGGTATGTTTGTCTTCTTAGAAGAAACTGATGAGAATAATATTTGTTCTCAATCAATAAATTCTTAATTTCTAGCCATGTATTTGCTCATCATTCATGTTATTTCTTGGAATACTGCAATCCTTTCATTTCTTAGTTCAGAATCTCACTTCAGTACGTCTAGAACATTTTGAAACTGAACCTTCACTAAAAACAGTAAATAGTGAAGTCAGTCAAACATATTATTCGGTACTAATTAATTATCATGGTCATTCTCCATTTGTTTCTCATTCTAAATAACTAAATCCTAATCTAACTACTATCTGTCTAGATTTCTGTCAATATTTTCCTGTACAGAGTCCTGAATAAAATTAAGCTGTATTCATCTTATATTATTCAACACGAGAAACTCATACTTCCTCAGTAAGTTTTGTTTCTACTGTACTTTTCATATGCTGTCCGACACTAATTAACTCTAGATTTATGCATTTCAGGATTTCATCATGAACTGACTTTGATGAGAGGACCACTGGGAAACCTGGTATTACTGGACAGCTGTTTCACTCTAGCTTGGGACTCTTCATCAGTACACACCCACCGCAAGTGATTGAACCAGTGACCTTCTGGTTACATGGTGTATTCGTAGACAGTTAAACCACTGGGACCTGATCCATTGGCTAGCCCATGAATTCCAACTTCTGCCACTAGCGAATGTCATAGCTGGCGAGTATTTGTCTTTCAGCCTGACCTGCTGCATTCCACTAGTCACGCATTCCTACCAGAACACATGTAACTTCATACCTGGGTGCGTTTTGATGAAGAGTCTCAAACTAGGCGGAAACAGTTCTACACTACTCTTAAGTTTTCCAATGGTCCTCTGACTGATGTCATTTCACGATGAAACTCTGAAACCAATCAAATCCCTGAAAAGGAACACTTGAATTTATACATTTATCTAGAAGAGTAACATCGGAGAAAAAATTAACTTATAAGCAGTAATACTCCCTCCTACACATTACTGTTATTTCATCATTACCGTTGTAGCATTGATGAAGTAAATATCAGCAGTAATAGCGATGAATTGTAAGTGTACAGAAGTTTTAGACTAAAATTCTATAAATAACCCTAGAGAATTTAACTTACACTACTCCTGCTACTACTAATGAATACGATAAAAACTCTTACACCAGAAGCCAATATAATTAGCACATATCTATACCTGAATATCATATTGATTACTTGACTTAATTTGTACACAGTTTATACACGACCAATAGTACACAAAAATTAGAAGACAGACAACAGTGAATCTCTGTAAATTAATATAGCTGTTTTAAAGAAAAAAAAATAAATTATTAGTTATGTTAAAAGAAATAATTCACTAAAAGTTATGAAAGCTGCTGAAAGTTTGAACAATGATAACGATATTATGGATAAAGTTAGTCAGCAGGTGAGTTCTGTTCATTTTGTATATTGTTTAATAAAGACTGAGTTTATTCAGCATAAATTACTAAGGTACTAGTCTTTACACCCGTAACAGTACACTGAAGCAATTCAAACAAAAGTTATATGGACAATAAGATTCATTCTTTTTCAAGTGAACACAGTAGATTAGGTACTAAATATTAGATTTCATTTGAATTAGTGTTCAAATAAAAGTTATACCATTTATTCCTAAGTCATGCATACAATTTTGATGGAGATTAATTACCATCTACTTATTAAAAAGTCGTATATGCTGACAGGAAGAATGAGATATTCTACAGAATTTTACCTTAAAAGTCAAGACTTGCATAACTATCCACTTGTTCACCTTCTTACGCATAATACTTCCGACTTTTAAGACCTTATTCTACAAGTTTATTGCTGATATCACTTTACAGTAGTCCAAAAGTTCGATTTTCAATACAATATTTCCCACTGAATTTAAATAGGAAAGATATTGATTTGATTATTTTTCTGCTTCCGTAAAATTTCATGTCTTTTATTTAAAATCTACCACAATGTAAATATGATTTCTGAATTTTTAAATTAGAACAGTTAAATATCAAATACTTTACCCCATAGCATGATTTAATGACTCCATACTAAATAGGCTTATTTGATAAAACACACAGTGATAGAGTATTAAAAACTGGATGACGTTTTGAGTACAATTTATTGCTCTTAATTCTATCAATGTATTCATACAACTTTGTCATAATTTTCCACATATACGGTAAAAGTGGTGTGTCGCATTTGTTTTATTTTGAATGGTAAGATTGTAGGCACAGGATCTTTGTTTATCCAATCAATGAGAAACATGTGCAATAGGAACGACCAATCACCTCTACCATATACATGAAAGATCACAGTACAGTCAAATGAATACATCGAAATGAATAAATGCCATAAGTTGGACTGGAAACGTCACCCAGTTGTCACGACCGTTTCGCATCAACTTCTTTGATATAGAATTATATTCTACTATAGTGTCCAAATTCTAATTTGAAAATTAGAATTCGGACACTATAGTAGACACTTTACGGATCAGAGACTTGCACCGCGCGTCATAAAGAGCATCTCAAACAAACTTCAGACCTACATTAACAGTTGTCTTCTCTCAATACTCAAGATCAGATGGCCGGCCAGAAAAGATCACCAACAGGGAGGGATCTCTGGCAATCAGCGAACCAACACAGCAGGAACCGATTGTGAAACAAATAGGCAGGAAGAAATGGAGGTGCATTGGCTTGGCCATACTCTGAGGAAACAAACAACCAAGTGACATTACTAGACAAGCCATTGCTCGAGTGGAACCCGAAAGGGAAGCGGCGAGGTGGTCGTCCAAAGGTGACTTAGAGGAGGTCATGTGAAGAGGAGATGAAAGCATGTGGGCAGACTTGGAGCGGAGTGAAAAAAGTGGAAGAAAACAGAAGGCAATGGAGGTGCGCGGCTGAAGCCCTATGTTCCTCTAGGAATTAAAGGATATAATAATAATAGTGTCCAAATTCTAAACTTACATTAACTAATGACCACCAGATAATGATGACTGAAAGAGCAGCTTTTTATATCCAGACTGATTTTAAGTTAAATTTCTACAACTCCTGCCTAAGAAAGACATGTACCCTATATGGGGAATCACATCAGCCTGATAATTAGACAAAGATTGAACGCTGATGTTAAAAAGACTTTTTGTGCAGCTAATATCATAATAATTGAAAATGTCAATATCCATCTAAGCCCTTCAAACATGCGGAAAGTGATGTGGACACACTTATATAGAGAGGACTCATTAATCTCTGCAATTAAGGGCTTCAAAACGTATTCCTAAGTGGCTTCAGAAGGAAAAACAATCCACAGGACCCATTATTGTTTGTAACAGGCGGCCTAGCTCCTCTATTGAGAAATATGATATAGAGACAAGACATAAAATTGATGTTTACACGTCTTTTAAATCTACCTATACAAAATGTTTGGGGCGTATGCCGAAGTCTTTGGAAGCCCTAGTCGGTAATTAGGAAATTTAAACCACCTCTATAGGTTTAAAAACAACTCCTCATCACACTAAACCTTCCTTCGTAAACTTTGTTGTGATTCCATAGCAGATGTACTATTACCTCTGTTAGTTGGTTTAGTGGTCTTCATTGTTATTTTGACATTCAATATGTCCTTTTAACTTGACCTAAGTCTATTTTCTCACCTCTTACCTCTTTATTAATTTCATATATATTCCTTTGACAAGTCCGTGTGTGATCAGATTGTTCGAAATGTGTTGCGCAAATACATTACACGATTCAGACAAATTACGTCTTCTTATTGCTATGTCTAAATTCATAAGGGGAATTAATTGTTTTACAATTTTATATTTTAGAAATGAGATATGGAAGTTTAAATCACCCAATCTTCTTACAAATGCCATTCTATGGTGTAGTTCCGTTTCAGTTTTTACTACGAGGCGGTTTAGAACCTTTGTTCATCTTATGACCATAGTTAGACAGAAGTATCATTTTTTAGTGAGAATATGTCATAATAAAAACTGAAGCTTTTCATTTCAATTTGTGACATTAGACTTTGAAACATACTACATAATAATTTTCGCTTTGTAATCATCATAAAGACGAACGTAGCCATTCTGCGATACGCATCCTTGACGCATGTCTGACTGATGTTGGTTCAACACAGTTCATTCTAAATCTCAAAGTAGTTGTTGGAATTCAGTCATTGTAATGTTTGTTAGGAAATCTCAAATTAAAATTTGAGATTTCCTATAAAATAAATTTTCAGAAAATATTTGCTTATCACCTGGACGGGTTGCCTTTATATGAACTAACTGTTGATCTGAATACTTATCACAGGGCTGTTAGTGTTTAAAAACCTTTCATTTTCACCATCAGATTGGCAAAGCCTTGCCCAAGGACTAATGTCTATTGTGAACATACAGGGATGCATTGTGATAAGGGTTTGCGTTCCCTTAGAAAAGAATACAAATTACATTGGGACAATAACTTATGTGCAGATACATCAGCTTAAAAGTGTGATATTCATCCCTATCCAAGATTAACTAACAGTCTTCATTGGATTCAAGTGAAACTAATAACCTACATGTTATATGATATCTTAATTTCTGCAGTCGTAAACTGTTAAATTCTCTCAGTCTTATAAACAAATATTTTAATTGGATTATCTTCATCTTCGTTCTACATCGAGAAGTGACAAAACTTGATGGTTTCAACTCAGTTGTAAAATAGTCACACCCTTCTAGGTTAGATTCCTGTCAGAGTTGTAAGTACTTATTTCCATGTGTTCGTAAACTAGGATGAAATGATTATCAACAGATTTTAAATTTTTGCTCTTCAACTACTAATATTGGCTTGTGAGTAAAATTAATTTCAAACTCAGTAGCTGTTACTGTTTTATTCACCAATCTGAAATGAAGAAGTTTTTGACTCAGTTCCTCTTCAGTTTCTTCAATGAGATTGAACTACGCTTGTGGAGATAACTGCTAAGTGGTCTCTTGAAGCTTTTTGAAATTATAGAGAAGAATATATGGCGAATTCGAATTCTTTTTCTATTATGAATAAAGTTACATTTCCTTTGAGTGAAGCATAAGAGCGGGCTGACAGAATTTTTAATTATTTGTTTCTAAATTGCTTTCCAGCAAGAATTTTAACAGTGCGATGTTTAACATTTTTAAAATGATACTTTCAAAGGTTAAAACAGTTTCTTAGGCTACGTCTGCGTCCGCAGGTGTTGCTTTTTGATGTCATCTAATTTTATCTTTGTTAAAGGATACAGAAAGCTGTCCTTCCTCGGTTAATTCATCCTCCATAAAACTTCATGTTACTGCGGAGAGGTCTATGTTTCAGTCGGCTTTTGGCGAAATTATTTCATGCCTTGGAGGTGCAGTAGGTACAGGAAATATCTGGCGGTTTCCTCGTGTTTTAGCATCAAATAGTTACTCTGGAGGTAAGCCTTTTTGACAGTGCAATAATGTATTTTATTTCAGGAATTAACCTTTTAGTAGTCTTAATCGATTGAAGCTGCTTTTAATGGAAAATCTCATGTTTTTAAATACGCCAAATGATCACATGTTGAAAGTATTAGGGAACTATTCATCACTGTAAATAGCTAACAACAGGCAAAAGAAGACATAGATTAATCAAGTATCTTGATGTATTTCGAAAGACTTCATCTCTTGTAGACTTCAGCTTGATACCTTTCCACCTTAGCATCATAATTATATGATGAATGTGAATTATCATCTAATGATGAAAGTTTTCAGGTAAAATATACCTGATAGGAAAGTATCTTAAGAATAAGGCAAATAAAATTGAATCACTGTGATGCTGTGAATACTAAAAATATCCATAGTAAAATTAAGAACAGAACAAATGAGAAAATGGTGTTATCTCTGTGTGGATATTTTAGGCTTTCCTCCAAAGAGCATAGCATCATAATTATTAAAAAGAAGCCAATCATGTTTGATTATGAACAGGACGATAAGATTGCTGTGAGTTATGCATTACTGTTAATGATGAATCATTAAAAAGTACATGGTGATGAATTAGCGAAAAAATGCTATACTAACATATCTGAACAGATAAAGACTTAAAAGAAATAAGAGTGAGTTAAACAGAATTGTAAAAGGAATAGAGTTTGAAGACGGGTGTGATGAGGCTACAAAATAGGCTCTCATGCTGTTGTTTAAAAGTTAGCAGATGGTATGGTAACTCACCTGACATGCCAACCAGCAGACTCTACAAAGACGGACTGAGCTGAACAGTAAACTAACTCTTCAATTTACCTCTAATAGTTAGTAATCTTATTTTCACGAGTTTGATCACAGAATGATATCAGTTTGGTGAATCATTGAGAATCAGGGAGTACTGGACAGACGTTTCATCCTAGTTTGGGACTCATAGGCAGTACGCAGCCACTGGTATCAGTCAATTGTCAAACTCGAAAAACAAATCTAATCCTTACAAATCAACCCTTGAAAATTATTTTGATACTCGCCAGTGACTTGCTACTGGACGGAGTTTCCTGGAGTTCTAGTGAAAAATCGTGACCAGTGAGGTCCATCCAGTCGAGAGTGAAGATGGATTTCCCACAGATGACATTGGTTGGTGGTCGCACTAAAAACCACGAATTAGGGGAAGTTAGAATTCATGGACTGGCCATTGAATCGGGTCCCAGTGCGTGAATGGTATATGGCCTTGCCTTGTAACTAGGAGGTCGTGGGTACGAACCCTGGTGGTGGGTACATTCTGTCGATGATTCCCAAACTAGGATGAAACAGCTATGCATTAATCCAGTGCTGGTTTTCATTTGTTCTCAAACTGATATTAATCCCTGATCAAACTCGATAAACAAATCTAATCCTTACAAACCAACTGTAGAAAAATAATCTTATAACTTACAAAACTGTGCTTAGAAACATAAAACACTGACTCTAGACAATCAAACAAAAACAGATTGATACTACAGTAAACAAGTTGTTTATTAAATGTTGCTTAGGAACCGTTTTAATGATTTACTGTCATTATCATTAGTGATTGTATACTCAAAACATAACAAAATTGTCATCAAAATACAGCTTCATTTAGTGCCTATCACTCAGCTCAGTGAAAGCGAATGCATCTAAAAACAGTATTCAATTTCTTCTGACGGAACTCATATTTTTCGAAAGAAAAGGACCACTTAAATACTAAGAACTTATCGAATGTTTCTGTTAATAGCATGAAATATCCTTTTTCTTTTAAAAAGAAATTAATATGAGTAACCAAAGATGTGAAAATGACACCTGAACAGATTCTTTATATAAATGATTATGAACCCCACTAAATGAGTAAGAACTGATAATGCTACTCAAGTTCTAAGGCTGAAGTAAGCGAAATAAACCTCAAATGCGGGAGTCAATAGTTACGAGCCGAGGCATTAAATCAATAGGCTAAATACCCAGAGATGAAAATCCAGTGGCTTATCGTGTAGCCAAATGAATGTATCACATACTCGACTGATATTCAGCAATTAGTATTTTAGCCTAGATAGAGCCGTCACCTAGAGAAAAATTTGTAAACTCCTCTTTTTTAGGGTATCCATCTGACGCTTCCTGAAACTTTCTGAGAACAACCCGTAGTTCCTAATAATCTAACCAGGGTAACTATGTTCCGTTATTAAGAATTCGTACTTTTTCATCCAAGTGGAGTGACAAATAGGACTTTACTTTTCCAGAAAAGTCATGTTATTACAATAGTTTATATGATTTCGGATCAGGGAAACTGCATTTCTAGTTAAAAGTGAGTAAGGAGAGTGTTTTACTGTAAATTAAAGTTATTATTCCTAAAAACTGCTTATTCTGTTCACTACTCCCATTGCTTTTTAAACTTTCAGGTGCATTAACCTTCTACCTTATATGGATAACAATTCTATTTCTTTGGTCCATACCAATCCTCATTGTGGAATATTCACTTGGTAGATTTACAAGGAATTCAGCCCCGTTGGCATTTTGTAAATTTTTTGGCGAAAAATTCTTTTGGTTAGGAGGTTGGATGGTTTCGGTTGTTTTCCTACTAAGGTCAGAACTGGTAAATTATTAGTTAAAAAGTCAGAAAAAAAAACGCAATTCATTTCTATTGTCTTTTTACTTTGTTTATTTTGATCACATGTATTACTTGCATCTCTCACATGTAAACATTTAACGTAAATGATAGATTTTTCACAACTAGTCTGCTTTTATTTCATTGTGTCCTTCTGATAAATTTAAGGGGGCATTTAGACCAGATATGCTGTCTAGGTAGTAATGAAGATGTGATTGGGTTTGATGATGAATTATCTACGACTAAATACAAAAGCTCACAGGACATCAAATAATTTTCATCAACATTCTGAGCTGCACATCTTTATAATTTCTGTTCAATTCTCCCAAAACGTTTCTATCATAATTAACGTCACCTGTGTGAAGTCCAGTTATATTAGACTAAAGGATGAAGATCATGTCGTACTTTTATCTTAAGTTAGTAACAAAATGAAAAGAAATCGTAGAAGTAGTCAAAGAAGATACTGAATGTGTGTGGTTATTTCTACTAATGAAAGTATGGGCAGCGAGGAAACAGACATAAAATGGACCCATACGAAAAACTTGGAGGATATGAACTTCGCCGACAATATACGTCTGATTTCCCACAAACTGGAAGATATGCAAGTGAAAAGCAACGAGCTGGCAGAAGATAGGACTTCAAGTGAACATACATAAGACAGAGGTGATGAAGATTCCTTGTCAACAGCAACAGCCACAACTACAGACAATAATCAGCATAAACGGAAGAAATATAAAGGAGGCAACCTTCTTTACCTACCTATCTATCTGTGAAGTATCGTTTGAACTACAGGCAGACGGAACTGATGAGGATATCAAAGCAAGGATCAGGAAAGCAAGGCAAGCTTTCGTTTTTCTCAAGTCTGTGTGGAGGTCAACAACACTCAGCGTGAAAAACCCGATGTGGGTTTTCAACACTAATTTGAAGTCAGTGCTACTTACTATACAGATCAGAGACTCGGTGCCGCGTCACGAAGTGCATTTCGAACAAACTACAGACCCTCATCAAAAGCTGTCTTTGATCAATACTCAAGATCAGATGGCCTGTCAAAAAAGATCAGCAACAGGGATCTCTGCGAGCGAACAGACCAGGGACAGACTGTGCAACAAATAAGCAGGGAGAAATGGAGCTGTAAACGGAGCTGAGGAAACCATCAAGTGACATCACTAGACAGGCCCTCGATTGGAACCCGAAAGAGAAGCGGCGAGTTGGTCGTCCAAGTGTAACTTGGAGGAGGTCATGTGAAGAGGAGACGAAAGAAAGCATGTGGGCAGACTTGGTGCCAGTTGGAAACGTTGGCAGAGAACCAAACGCAATGGGGACGTGCGTCTGAAGCCCTGTCTTCCTCTAGGAACTAAAGGAAATAATAATAATGAGAGTATATTGAGAATCAGAAATTAAGGCTGATCCGTTAACCGGTGATGAATAAATTATTGGTAGTAGGTGGTTCGGAATGTTTATATGTTCATTTAAACTCCAGTGATCCGTTACACTATTTAGTTTATGTTAATTTTTAATCCTATATAAGGTAGACTTGACTTGTTTCACGAAATACAGTTTTCAGTAATATAATTTATGCTGAAAAAGCTAATGTTTTACAAACTGACTGTAGATTCCCTGATTCTTATGAATATTTCATAAATGCTTCCATATATTGCTATTATCTGATGGAGGGGGTGTAATATTTCAATGAGAAGATGCACAGCGACTACCACTTGTAAACTTATACATTTTAAACTTACACTACCTGGTTGTTTTATCATCTTGTTATAATCTGTCTCAAATAAATGATGGAAGTACATGAAATTAATCCCTATAAATTTTAGATTGTATAACCGTCACTGCTAAACTATAAGCTGATTTCTATATGGCACAGACGAAAATTCCCTTAAGCAGTTGTAATTTCCGAAGTGTTTATAACAGTTATTCACTCTCCCTTGAAGTCATTTGTTCAGCTATGGATGAGGTGTATTCGAAAAGAGGTTACACCAGGACAAATGACCTAATTATTCGATAAAGGCTCAGTTTTTTTCTAAATATCAAGGTGTATGAAGAAATTAGATGCTTGTCTTATACACTTTGCACGACAAAACTACTTCACCAAAATATTTCACCAGTTGACTTCTTTTTTTATTTCAGTTGTTATTATCCAGTTGTACTTGGTTGGTGCATATATTACTTCTACGTCTCATGTTCACATCCTTTATTGCCAGAAACTGAAGAGGCTGGTTTAGCCATTTTCAGTAATTTTGCAGAGGTAAATATAGTGAAGTTGTACAATACTTTTGATAACTAAGAATAAATTATACCACAGTGAAATAGATGACTAAAAGTATTTATACATTAGAGTTTATAGTAGTTTATGTGATAGAACAGGAATGCTGCCAAGTAAATACTCTTCAGTAATAGTCGGTCTTCGTAAATGATTGAATCGACCTTGGACTATTTACATATTACACCTAACCACAATCTCACAACTACGAACAACTCACTCATCCTACAGTTATGTTGTTGACGATTCATGTTAGTTTGTTCACTAGCTTAGCCAAAAGGTGAATCAACTCCGTTCATTAAATAACCCTCAGAATACTATTTGTTCTCGACACCTATATGGTGATTTGATATTATTAAACCCAATGAGTAATGAGAAATATACTTTAATTTTGTGTGTACTACACGGATGGGTTGTGTGCAATCATTTACCTTGTATCAAGTAACGTGATAAATAAGGAGAACGACGAAATTTCTGAGACAATACCAAGGAATCTAATCCTGAAGTAGGTCTGAACCCGTGGTATGAAAATCACCTGGATTCTGAATAAAGACACAATTTTGATAATTAAATCTGTTACTGTTAGAAAACTCGTGTGATTTAAATAGCACACCCCACGTACTAACCGTCTGACAATAACGGGAATGAATACATGTTAGTAAACACTAATCTGATAGTAACAGGTACATATAATAAGGCTGGCTACACTAATCTGTGAAATAAGATTAGGGAGTGGTTAAAAGCCTGGGAAACAATAAATAGCGGTTAAATATTCTCATTCAACTTGTAAAAAATGTTTGGATGAAGCCCATAATCATTTTAGTGGCTGAATTCAAAATTCATTCGTGCATAAATAAGATCACAAATAGAGTTTTTTTTAAACCTAGTATAAATATTCTTGAGTAGACAAGGCCTAACTGTTTCCCCTGAATAGTGGCTCACTTTTTTTAATAGGGACCATTGGAATCACACAGTTATATCCGCCTTTCTAAGATGACACTGATATTATTCCTACTGTTGACTTTTATAGCATTCCTATTGGCCAGTATTTACGCAAATGTTAGCAGTGGCTTTAACTGGTATTTGCCTAGCCGGTGGAGTTAAGTGGATTGAAAAAGCTAATATCATCTTGGTCCCTCTTCTATTACTCATTATTCTATTCATGTTTGGCTGGTCGCTAACAAGGCAATATGCGGAAATTGGCATTGCGTTTCTTTTCACACCGTCATGGAGTAAGTAAGACCACATATGGTTAAACATCTCTAACTAATTTCATGATTATTCCTTTGAATTTTCCAACAAAATGAATGTGAATTTGAGTTGCTCTAGATTTTACATAATTGAATGGTTCAATTATTATAAATAATCATATTTAGAGTCACAGTTATATCAGTCTCATTTTAAATTATACAGTTTCACTTGTATCAAATAAACACTAAAAACATAAAAATAAGTATGCTTTTCACTTTTATGTTGTAGGCAGTATCACAAGTCCCAGTTTATGGATTGCAGCTGCTGGTCAAAATGCCTTTGATACTGGTTCAGGAATGGCTATAATGGCAACATATTCTACATTTATGCCAAGAGATTCCAGAATAGTTTCTTATAGTTTCCTCATACCTATTCTTAACAATCTTGTCAGGTGAATTATTATTTTGGTAATTATAAAGTCCAATTAATAAAACATATTGTCACAGTAAGCATTACAAACATCATCAGCGAGACCTTTCAGCATAATCACTTTATTCAGTAAGAAGTATCTAGATGAAGGACTGGAAACTGTCAGCTGACTATTTCGGTTCATAGACTCGTATAGCCTCGTCTAATACTTCATGTAGCACATTGCCAAAGCTGTCGACAAAAGGCAATGTGCTGTAATGCCAGCTTTGTTAACTGCAGGCATTAACATTTTCCTGATCTTTCGAATATTCATTCGTATTACTGGCTTCCATAAAACAATTTAGTTAGTAAATCTGTTAGTTTTGATAAATTTTAACCTCAAGCTAATGTCATCTTACAATCTTCCTTCACTTCAGCTTATATGCTTCTATAACAATATTTTCAACTGTTTTCTCGACAATTATTCAAAGCAATCCCACAACAACTCGTTCAGCAATCGTAAGAATAATGAAAACTGCTGGTCCAGGAAGCACAGGACTTACATTTACATGGTAGATTTATTTGTTTAACATTGAAATTCAAACAGTTTATGAATGAATGACGGTTTTGATAGTGGTTATGTTGTACTTACAAGGTATTATATATTTTGTTTTCAGTGACGAGATTAACAGTTCCTTTGAAACGTTTGTGCACTGCTTTGTGAAATAAGTCTATCCTGTCAAAAATGTACCTTTACTTTGGGAGAAACTTAAATGTTTAGTCTTTTAGTCATTTTTTGTTCACATGATTAATACACCCGTCGGTTCGGTTCATTTGTTATCCTATGAATACCCTGTAGTTAGACTCCTTTTTCTTGAAAGGTAATATCATTAGAGTTAATATTATATTGCGTGAGAAAGCCCGATTGAGCACATGATGAGAAGATTATTACGTGACAACGCAGGGTAGGTCCTCAAGTAGAACACGAATGAAAATTGACAAGTTGATAATCTGAGGTTGATATAGAAGAGACCATGTGAAAAGAAAGTGAAAGGCTTCGGGTGGTCATAGAGTCAGCTGAAAGTATCGGTAGAGTAACTAGTGCCATAAAGAAATGTTCCTGAAATTCTGAGTTCCCCTCTAAATCAAGGGATGAATAATATAATAATATTTAGGCAAACGCGAAGTCCTGTCTAATGTGTAAATTTATTTAATGAGTTATCAGACTTAGCAACCAATGGAATAACGCAAACTTTAAGATTTTTAGCGTATGGCCATAATCACTTAATCCATTATTTTTCTTTTGTCCTAGGATTCCTGTTTTATTCTCGAAATTTGGATTATTTGGCAGAATTCTTTCTGCTTTATTCTTTTTGTGTCTCGTGTTTGCTGGAATAAGTTCTTCACTGTCTATTACTCAAGTTGGTGTACTTTCTATGAAGGAGATGAATGGTAAGTTGACTAAATAAAACATCCTATTCCAGGATAATATTTATCCAATGATACCATCTCTGATCAGAAGTCAGATATGCAGCTGTTTGACTGAATTTAAGTAAGAAGAACACCAAAATGCACCTGAGACTGGGAAGTGGATTGTACTTTACCTGAAACTCTTCAGTGACCTTGTAATAAAAACCGATTAGATGCAACAATGAAAAATCTTGAAATAAGCACATTTTTCTATATGCTGTCATATGGTTATGATATTTAATGTGAATTCATCTCGAGGCGAAATTTAATTTTTAAGGAGACTTATGAAACATTTATTCTTAGAAAATCATGGGCAATTTCATCAGACGTTCTATATTCTTTAAGTTGAAAGGGGGTGCATACGTTGTGTCTATTACATGATGTAAAACTGAAATAATTATCAACTAGAACTTTTATTCAAATGATTTGCAATTGGTCACATGATTTTAAAAGCTGATCTATCGGCGTAACTAGAACACCATAAGGAATATGCTGGTCATCCTCATAATTTTATTGCTAATTTCTGAAGCAGTGAAAAATTTTGGTCAAATATCTTTAGAATAAATAATGGGCTTGATGAAATCACAATAGATCTGCGTCGGTGGCATAGTGGTTAGGACTCTCGCCGACCATGCACATGGTCCGGGGTTCGAGCTCACGCCGGCGCACACCTGATATCTATGGTCGGCCTGCAAAATTTGGGCTACCGATATCCATGCTGAAAATTCCATACTTGTACCAAAAATACAGTGTGGAATCAAGCTGTAAATCAAAAAAAATAGATCATATTGCAAGTAATAAAGTTCTTGAGTTTTGAATTATATTCTGACTCAAATGTTCTGTCTCTTGCTCTCAGATATTAACAACCATCAACTACAATTCTCCCATAAAGTTACTTGGGACAGAAAAATTTGAGAAACTTTCTGAACATAATTTTAATTTTCTTGAGTTATTTCTCTCTCTCTCTCTTTTGAACCTCTCTTTACTCTCTTCACTTTCTTTGTGAAACAAGTCAGTCGGTCAGTCTTGCTCCTCACGGACCGTTGTGTGATTCAATTCTTTATAGGTAGTAGTGAGCAGCCGTATTTTATTTCAGTTTTAACTTCAAAGGCTTTGTCGAGCTTTTTGTCATAAATTACTTGGCATTTTGCAGTATAGTATGACTGCTGAATGAAATTTATAAATGTTTACAGCAGTCTGTAGTGTTGAAGCAGTTGCCAAATCACTTCTTGGCTTACGCTATCGAAGGCAGTCACAATATCGGTGAATTTAAGGTAGAGAATTGACTGCTTATTCCCCCTGATAATCCGTAGTCTTTTTGCAACCTACCCTCCGCATGAATACAGCTGCTTCATGGAGAAGTTTTTTTCCATGGAATATTTTGGTCTCTCCATGAAGACATAACTTAATATTTTGCTCAGCGTAGACAGGTGAATGATTCTGCACTAGTTTCTGCAAAGGGCTAAGGCACCCTTCTTTGGTAATTCAACAAGATGGCCTTTCTTCAAATCACTGGGTACCTTCCCTTCTTTCCAAACCTTTTGCAGTAATGGCGTAAGAACATTTTCCGCAGTCTCTAAGTCCTTTTTCAATGCTTTGGGGGAATTCCGTCTGGTCATGCTGCCTTCCCGGACTTCAGTAACTCTATGAAATTCAAGAGGTCTATCTTTGTTAGGGATTGACATTCATTGCCAGCTCTGTGCCTGATGCTGGTTGTATTTTTGGACGATTTGTAGTTGGGTGATAATCTAATCGAGAGTCCTTTGAATTCAACAGTCCATTGTTTTATTTGTTTCTCCTCTTTGGTAATTGGGTTCCCTTTAATATTTTTCATTGGTTTCATCTGCGTCGATGTGATTATCTGATATTATGTTCTAAGGTCTCTTTTACCTGTGACTTGCCTGTTCTGTTTCAATTGCCAACATATCGTAGAACTGTATATTTTTCTTTTTAATTACTCTTTTTAACCTCGTTATTCGGTGTGATGCACACTGAGTTCTCAATTCTCTGTCCTTCCTTTCAGTGGTTCACCTTCTTTTTCACCATCCCTCTCTCCACGTTTCCGTAGACAGCTGTTCCTTGTCTTACCTCTTCTTCTTGCAATGGATATCTATGCAGGTTTCCTTCTGTGTCGCTTTCAGAAACTTCGAGCGTTTCTTCATTAAAGTTGCTCAATGTCTGTGATGTTTTATTGATTAATACCATGGATGGGTCCCTGATGTTACCGTCCTTCTCTTTCTGGAAGTTGAACTCGAATTTCGATCTATCTTTGGCATATTTGAAGCCCTTCAACATGACCTTGAACCTCCTCTGCACCAGACGATGATCGCAGTTTATATCTATTCCATCTGCGTGCAGTAGGCTGCATCTCAAACTTATGAGATTTAACTGTTTATCTGACTTTTGTTGTGTTCTTCAGGTGAAACTCATGTCAACTTGTTTATATCTTTGCGTTTGTACGCACCTGTTCCGATCACCAAATTAAGTAAAATCACAGAGCTCACTGTTACCTATCATATCATCCAGCACCTCTTGAGTCATGACCACTGCTTTTTCTGTGAAGTCTGCTTCCAGTTTGCAATTCACATCACCTATAAGAATTTCGGTGTCACTGTTTCGAATGCTTTCCACTACTGTATGGAGTTATCTGTAGGATTCCTCCTTCTTCTCTTGTTCTGAGTTTTTTGTAGAAGTATAGCCTCCTATAACTGCAACTTTCCTTCCTTTCGAGTTGATTCTTGATGTCATAATCCTGGAGGAGATTCCATCTGCCTGAAGGCTTTGGTGACGTCATGATACCCGTTCCTTCAGTGTGCTTATGGTTGTTGTTTAAGTTACTGGAGTAGATTATTAACCCTCCAATTAACACACTGGCGAACCAGTTTCGATTCCATCCACTCTCATAGATTCCTAGCACTTCTCTACTATATCTCCTCATTTATTTTGCAGTTTGATTGGCCCTGCTAGACTAAAACATTGTTCAGACATTATGTTTCTTCACGTCTACTTTCACTTTCATTGAAATAGAACAAATCAGCCAGCTGGATTCCTGATGGTTAGCATCATTCATACTGTAATTGAGGAGTGTTCCTCATTCATGCAAAGAATGAGTTCATTCTTAATGTGTTTTGAATTTTAACTAGAGATAGAGCTGTTTTTGGCAAGATGAAGTTGATGGACCCACATGTAATCTATCCTCATTTAAGAGACTGCCTGGTAAAGCAGGCAAGGTTAGTTACCAAGATAGTAGATAGGATTTAACACTCACTCACTGTATACGTTTATTCCCGGTAAATTTCGGTTTGACAGAAAAGAGTACGATGATAAATACACGAAATGAATGCTAAATATTCATTATTAAATATACCCAAAATATTTCTTATCAGCCCTGAGTATATTACTTTGCATAACGTTAAAAACGTTGGCTAATCTTGTTCCTTTAAATGTCATCGATTTGTATCATTTCTATTATTCGGTTTATTTGTTTTGCAGTTCCTCACCGTTTGGCCGTTTCTATTGCTCTAATTGCTTCGGCGGTGATTGGTTTGCCTTCAGCAATCTGGTTGGATTTTTTCACAAATCAGGTCAGAATACAACGAGAAACACTTTTTTCAAGTTCGTAACATTTTGTTAATAACCTACACTGTACTTCTAACTTTTATTCTTCACTTTACTCTAGGATAATACTTGGGGTTATGGACTCGTTGTATCTGGATTTTTATTCTGTTTGCTGGTAATAATTTATGGACCAAATCGTTATCGACATGTCCTGATTAATGACTTCGGCATAAATGACTGTAAATTATCTGTACTGTGGGTCCCTCTTATCGCGTAAGTTGTACGTAATAACCTTGAATTTCTTGGATTTTCAGTGACTAGTATATGCATTGGTATAATGTAAAGGACTAGCCTAACCTTGATGTATAACCTAAGTACATTATTTTTGTCACAGTCGAATCATATATATATATATATATAACTTGCTGATTCATTTAAGTTAACAACACAAAATGTAGAATTATCTTACATTCATTAAATTATTAAATTGATTCGATAGCCACCTATTTGCCGATGTATACCACACAAGAGTTTTCATCTTCACTTACGGATTCCTTCATCAAAGGATTTACACTCTTGAAGTATTGTTCAATACATCTATCTCAAATAACAAAATTTACTGATGGAAATAAATGCCTACACTCAGGAAGTTTTCCAAACTGTGCACAGGAATTCAGAGGATACTTTACTTCACAAATATCAATAGAAAACAACTACTAGAATATTACTAAGACCTGTTCTATAAACCTAGTCTAAAAAGCGTTCAGTCACACTCAACATAAGCTTTTACTGAGAAAACAGAAGAACTTCTAAAAGATAACTATATAAGTATACACATATACCCCGGCCGACGCACTCCTTTACCTCTCTAAGCCAGTGATAACTAGTAAAGAGGGAAGGTTGGCATGATGCTAGCAACCCCAACCCGTAAAAATGAAAAACCACTGCTACCGAAACTTCAGAGCTCTAGCTTGAAGTCCTATGTTCCACTAGTAACGTAAAGGAGTAAAATATATATTTGTAGAAGAGTTTCTGTAGCTGTGGCTAAGGTGGGCCTCCCCCTCATTTTGGTACCCACATAAATTGTTAGTGAAAAAATAAAACGTTCATTCAGTTAGATCACTCCTCGCGGACAATGAGAGACATACAATTAACTGGTGGAGTGTAAAACATTCTAACACCTACAACACTAACATCAGTTTGTAGCTGACAGACTTGTTGATGGGAATAACGTGAGCCATACGGTTGAAGGGTCCACTATCAGGCCAGTGAGGCTACCAGCGTCAACACAAGTGGGTTCAATCACAAAACAGTATGTGTAAAAAACAAGTCAGATAAAAGTTAATCATGGAGGACAGATATTTCATCCAGACAGAATTCTAAAAGTGGACTTTACATAAATAATAATAACTTTATTCTGAAAAATGATTTAAAACATGTTTCAGATTTCTCAGCATGTACTATTGCAAAGTATTTACTCCGAGTGTAGAATATTCTAGTAAATTAATAGTCGGTAATATTTTATGTGACTCAATGTTTTCCTATTCAAATCACGCGCTAATAACCTGCTAATGTTACCCCTCTGTTCTCTTTGAAAAATCCATAGTGGTAACTTTGCATGAATATAAATTTCAATTCAGAGAAGTAATTGGATAATTAAAGTAACGTGAAATACGGTAAATATGACACACGTTTATGGGAGGAAAATTAAGACGCCCAGTGATTTAAGCAGGCCACTACTAACTGACGCTAAAGTTTTCTGTGAAGAAAAACAACGAAAACTACCCGGAAAAACCACAGTTCAGAAAACACAACAACACCCAAGGTTTCCGCGTTTATTTCCCCACTTATGCGTTTAAATACATTTAGTCTATCCTGTTAGATACATTCATATGCAGTCAAGCTGCCTCATTTCCTTGTGAAGCAATGACACGGTGAAAATGATGAATACCTTCACAGTGAAATCAATACTGATAGATATCCCATCTTAGATAGGAACTGAAATCCACTTTGTATTACCATGCATGACATCAGGCTGTCGGGCAGCCACGCGAAAGTACTTATAAAAAACAGAATTCAGTGGAGATGTGCCTAAAAAGCTGAATTTTTCCCTAGTAGCGCAAGGAACAAATATTAGTAGTAATAATAATAAAGTACATGACATCGACCCTTGCGAGTTTCGAAAGCTGTCATTTCATTCATTTCAGCCTTGGCCACTTCAGGAAAGTATTTTCAGAACATGAATGGTTTTGAAATGAAATGAATGTTTTTTCTAAGCTCCAGTATAAAAAGCATTATAGTCTTGTTAATTATTCTATAATCACAGACATTCTTTATTATCTGTAACTTAATCAGACTAGCGAACTTTTTAATTTTCACCATAGAAATATTTTAAATTAAATACAAATGAGCTAATGTTTCAGTCTGCTTATTGACTGAAATCTCTAAGAGATTAATAAACAAATGCTTTCTACACGAAACAACCTTTTGAGTATGTTGCTGAAATTTACCAATCCTGTCTGCATTGGGACTTGACGTATATTTTAGTTATGTATGCAAACTCTGTTTATAATTTAAACATGAACTTATCACCTTTCACTTATGATAACTTCATTCTCAACCTTTAAATATGATAAGTATTCAATATACTATGATTTGCGGAGGAAAATGATGAGTTTCCTAGTTTGAAAAGTCAATAGCGGTACTATTTGCGATAGATTAAATGTTCAATAAATAAATATGTGTAATAAATTTCTTTATTTCGAACTTACTTTTTTCTTTCTAAAATATTATAATTTTAGATTTTTGGTCCCCTTGCAGTCGATCTCCTTGTTAGCTTGGTGGATATATGAATGCATTACTACAGACCCATATTGGTTTCATCTGACGTGGACTTCACTAATGACAACATTATTAGAAGTATGTTCAATACTTTCAATATTTTAACACTGAATTCACAAGTCTCACTATAAGGCAACTTTTTGACGAGCTCGCCTTGTAACCAGAAGGTCCTGGGTTCGAATCCCGGTGGGTGCGTACTGCTGAGGAGTCCCAAACTAGGACGAAACGGCTGTCCAGTACTCCCAGGTTTTCCAGTGGTTCTCTAACTGATGTCAGTTCATGTTGAAATCCTCCATGCAATCAAACAAAATCCCTACAAAAACCAATACTTGAAAATTCATCTGATGCTCACTAGTGACTGGCCCTATTCAGGCAGTTAACCTGGGGTTCTAGTGGGAAGCCGTGACCAGTAGGGTGCAGCAGGTCGAAGATGAGGCAGTAACTCATCGAAGAAGACATTGCGAAGTGGTCGCGCTATGTCGTGAACTGGCAGAAGTTAGAATTCAAGGACCATTGGATCGGGTCCCAGTGGCTCAATGGTCTACGAGCTCGCCTTGTAACCAGAAGGTCCTGGGTTCGAATCCCGGTGGGTGCGTACTGATGAGGAGTCCCAAACTAGGACAAAACGGCTGTCCAGTACTCCCAGGTTTTCCAGTGGTTCTCTAACTGATGTCAGTTCATGTTGAAATCCTCCATGCAATTTTTGACATATGTTCAGTGGTTTCAATACATAAAAAAACGTGCATTTATCACTCAGTAGCCATGGTTCAAGAATATTAATAAGCAGTTTGAATTTAGCTACTTTAAGTATACAATGCAAGGTAAATTTATCATAAATCTAGGCAAATCGCTTACGATAATAGATAAAACGTTGATAACAGTAGTTGCTCTGAAATTATCCCTCATTTTCGAATTTTTCTACAGTTCGTCTCGTTAGGAATGATACTCCTTTTAAACTGATTTATCTGTCAGTTAAGGTTTCATGTAAATCAAGTTAACCAGAGTTCCACTCGGTCAGCTATGCTGGATCTAAAGCATAAGTAATATTGATTTACTTAAAGCAATCAAACCAATAAGACTAAGGATCGTATTTTCTAAATAATATCAAAACTATAATGCTAAAAACTAGATAACAGCCCAAAGATATTTAATCCTGTATTTACGCTAGTAAAAACTTCCATAAGTTAGGAATCCGCCCCACCGGCGCAGTATCAGTCTAAGGAAGGTGTAAGGAAGCACCTATGAATTTTCGCACATATTTTTTATTACAGCTTGATTCCACACCTTATTTTTGGGACAAGTGTGGAATTTTCAGCGTGGATATCGGTAGCCTGAAATTCGCAGGCCGACCATAGATATCAGGTGTGCGTCGACGTGAGCTCGAACCCCGGACCATGTGCATGGTCGGCGGGAGTCCTTACCACTGTGCTATCGACGCACAGTGGTTACTTGCGTTACTTCATGCGTTACTCGGAACTCAAAAATGTATTTTCTAATAAATAATTCTTAAAGTTACTTATTTAACTTTACTATATTCATTCTATTTAGTGGTTTGCTGTGCTACTTCTTTTATGGATTTTAAACTGGTTTCTTTGCCGAACGAAAATTCTCAGCCAAGTGTTAAATCAAATAGGTGGTTGTGATCCTTATAACCCAGCGTCCTATGAGGACAACATTGACAGCGAACAGAATTATATCAACTTCAAGGAATATGATACTGTTTGCACAAGACTATGAACAATGAATTTTACTATCAGAAGAAATAAACTGCATCAGATTAGTACAAATTATTATGTATTTATCATACTTTGAATACCGACATTTTCTGCTCATACAGAAAATAGCTTACACCAATTCCGGTGTCTTAAAGAAATATTGCAACGTCATGTTTTTATGCTTTTGAAAACTTTTTGTTTACTGTTAATAATGTTTACACTTCATCGGAAACTTTCCGTGAACTATTGTAACCGGCTAGCTTATATCCACTAGTCAATGTCAAGCTTTTCTACCTGTTCTGTAAGTGAAACTTTAATCAAATCATTGTGAATAACAAGGATAAATACACACCTATTAATTGAGTACTTCTGACAAAAATAAATAGTCACCGAACTTTCCTGTTTTTTTGGTGTAACCTTAACACTATTTTAGTATTGATTGGTTCGTTCTTCTGTTGTCAGAAGAATCAGTTGGTCTCCTAAGTACAAATTTAAAGACAGATAACTAAAACTTCAGAGAATTTCCTTTTTAATTATCTCTCTGAGAATGTGCAAGCAAAAGTACTTTATGGGTGAAAAACTGGTTGAGGAAAACCGCAGAAAGCTATGAGCTTATGCGCGTTTTTATTGACGCCCGTAATCCGCAATCTCATTGAAATTAATTTCTCGCCAAAGATTGGAATACTTATCATTTAGTGCTACTCCTGTAATTTAGATGCGACCTACTTCACATGGGACTGTGATTATTATTATTATATCCTTTAAATCCTAGAGGAACATAAGGCTTCAGGGGCACGTCTCCATTGCGTTCGGTTTTCTGCCAACTTTTTCACCCCGCTCCAAGTCTGCCCACATGCTTTCATCTCCTCTTCACATGACCTCCTCCAAGTCACCCTTGCACTGACGACCAACTCACCGCTTCCCTTTCGGGTTCCAGTCAAGCGATGGCTTGTCTAGTGATGTCACTTGATGGTTTCCTCAGAGTATGGCGAAGCCAATGCACCTCCATTTCTTCCTGCCTATTTGTTTCACAATCGGTTCCTGCTGTGTTGGTTCGCTCATTGCCAGAGATCCCTCCCTGTTGGTGATCTTTTCTGGCCAGCCATCTGATCTTGAGTGTTGAACGAAAACAACTGTTAGTGTAGGTCTGAAGTTTGTTTGAGATGCTCTTTATGACGCGCAGTGCAAGTCTGTCAGCCGGATAGTAGCACTGACTGACTTCACAATGGAGTTGAAAATCTGGATCTTATACTCGTTTTGATGCTGAGTGCTGTTGACCTCCACACAGATTTGAGAGTAATGAAAGCCTGCCTTGCTTTTCAGATTATCCTTGATTTGATATCCTCGTCAGTTCCGTTCGCCTGTAGTTGAAACGATCCTTCCCAGGTTGGTGGGTGAAGGAGGTTTTTTCTTTCAGGTTCCTCCCATTTATGCTGGCTGATTATTGTTTGTAGTTGTTGTTGCTGTTGTTGTTGGCCAGGAATCTTCATCACCTCTGTTTTATGTATGTTCACTTGAAGCCCTATCTTTGGTGCTTCTTCTCCCAGCTTGTTGCTTTTCACTTGCATATCTTCGAGCTTGTGGGACTCTGATAGTCACTATGAAATAATCAGTGTCATGGTGACTAGTACTTTGTGCTAGTTGAATTTTGTCAAACGTCTTCGTAATACAGTCAGCAAACCCAGAGACTCACCATCATCGGAAACTCGGAATTGATTTTAGAGAGCTAGAAGTGGTTAGCACGAAGGTCTGTACTTCAATTTCTCGTTTAATGCTGCTTATTATCATGAAATATTTAAACCCACAATTCATGTGCAGCTTGGATGGAGGTGAATTAATAAAAACGTTTCATTCATTTGTATTCATCAACGGTTGAATGGTCTAAGAGCTCAACTTGTCACCGTAAAGTCCTGGGTTCAAACCCCCTTGGATGCTGAAGAGACACAAAGTATGACAAAATGACGATCCACTACTAACAGCTGGTTTTCGATGCATGTATACATTTTTCAGTGGGTCAGTGCTCTTAAACCAAGTATGTGGCTCCGGTTTCTATCCCAGGTCGACGCAATCATACACCTCTGTTAATCGTAAATAAGTCCGGTAAAGAGGTAAGGTTGGGTATGATACTAACACTCCCAACTCGTAGAAGTTCTATAGAAAATTCAAAGCCCCAGCTTGAAGCTCTACTTTCCACTGAGAATGCAGGTCGAATAAAAAATCGGAAAAATAAGTTCTGATTTTACTAATTTGGATAACGGTGACACACAATAGCTGAATTATGATATTCATTTGTGAGTGGCATCTAGATTTTAACACAAAGTTGACGACCAAAAATTTACCACTTATATGCGGGAAAGCAAAAGTAAGGAATACTTAGGTCGTTACTTTCTTGATAAATAGTAATACCAGTAAAAATTAGCTAAAAGTCACTTTACCCAAAAAGCCAGGGGAATGCTGTTTTCATTCCTGTGTTACAATCGAATCAGATAAAATGACAACTCTGCCGTTTGATATAAGTATAAAACTTGGGAACTGTGGTAGAGTATAAGTCCATAATGGATAAGATTTTATTTCGATAAATCACACAGTGTTGTACAGCAATATTAACAGTTAATATAACTGTACAACACTGTGTGATTTATCGAAATAAAATCTTATCCATTATGGACTTAAACTCTGCCGTTTCACTGAAGATTTTTCGCTTCCACTTCTATACTCATGTAAGTTCTTCATACATTTATTCCTGCTTATGAATCTGAATAAAGCAAGAATAACAGTGGTTTGTGCAGAATAAGATGGAACCATCATTTATCTGGTTGGCTTCTAGTCAGCCGCTCACATCCTAAATAAATTATTAAGTTTATGCACAGAAAAGTTTTAATATACTTGCAAATGTTACATGATGTCAGTTGACAGAAGGTTTCAAACTTAATGAAAAGTGTTCAGAAAACTACACTTATATAATATTTACCCAGGGACTTGAAGTTTCAACAAAATCAGTGTATGATTTCAGTGGTGGAGGAACTTCGCAAGAAAGATGACAGGTGTCTAAGATAAATAGTAACTAATAAATTGAGTAACAGTGTACTGAGTTCAGCTCAAATCAAAGAAAGAAGTGACAAATGAAATTACATTATATACAAGGAAAGGTGAGGTTAAAGGCAAAGAATAAGCAATCCAATGAAAAAGAGAGTAGAGACATGCAGTTACCAGAGAAAAGAAAGACTGATAACTGCTTTATATAAATACATAAATCGGGTTTCAAAAGTTTATTAGAGATTGCTTCTACAAAATTGAGAAGGATTGAGCTTATTAGTTTGTTGGTAATTTTGAAGGAATTCGAGATTTCCACCTCACGACCCGTGTCAAGGAGATGCCTGGAGATGGCACTGTTGAAAGCGTTTGTTCCCTTGAAACGTAGTTTTTTTAATACATGTTCAGAAAATCGGAGGTGCGTCCTTCTTTCTGTTCGCCCAATGTAACTTTTCCCGCAGGTACACGTTAATTTGTATATACAGTTGGCATCAACATGGGGAGGATATCTATCTACTTTTGACTGTACCAAAAGGCATGTGGTCCGGCAGACAGGAATTAACTTAGCTTCAGTATAGGCTCTGGCTACTGACGTACTCAATCATTTGTTGACTACTGGTGCAATGTTTTCACCTGTAAAATCAAGTTCTTTTTTGCGTAACTCCACCACCAGTGAATTCATACACTGATTTTGTTGAAACTTCAAGTCCCTGGGTAAATATTATATAAGTGTAGTTTTCTGAACACTTTTCATTAAGTTTGGAACCTTCTGTCAACTGACATCATGTAACATTTGCAAGTATATTAAAACTTTTCTGTGCATAAACTTAATAATTTATTTAGGCCGTGAGCGGCTGACGAGAAGCCAACCAGATAAATGATGGTTCCATCTTATTCTGCACAAACCACTGTTATTCTTGCTTTTTTTCAAAAACATGCAAATTCGGCTGCTTTTAGATCGGGCTGTGGAATAAATCACTGAATCTCACTTTGGAAAGCTTTCGCATCACGAAATTAGTCAATATATTGCTAATAAATCTTCAGTCATTCTCAGTGCTTATTATCGCTATATTTCTGGTGATGTTTCTGAGGGATTACTGTGTAAGATTTTATTTATTTATGGATTTACAAATGGTAGTAGTATGTACAGCTTTTTTTATTGACAAAGTATTTTAACAAAATATTTCTCATGGTCAGTGGCTGAGTTACTTTTCCATTTTCTTGTTGTAACATGCAAATTCACTTTACACAATTTTTTGTTCACCTATTTTTTATTAGACTTTGATACATAAGCCTTGTCTTTATCAATTAAGTATTACTTACTTTTCCATTGTTTTGTCCCTGTTAAGTGATCTTCAGCTTATCTTCTTTGGTACATACAGTTTGAATTTTAGAGCTGTCAGTGATTTAAAAACATACAGAACGACACACTAAGTATTATCGAAATTTCTGTGGGGAGAAGAGTTTGATTTTGGTTTTCTTATGGGTAACCCTTCTTGTCAACTTTTGTCAGCTAGTTCTCTTTAAGTTTATTTACTATGAAGCCTTCTGTAAATCTTGATAATATTTTAAGCAAAACATTTTTCTTTTCTCGTTAGTAATCGGGTATCTTATCATAGACTGTTATTATTCTGCTTTCATAGCCATTAGATTAACGAAATAGTAATCCAGAAATATAAATCTTATGTACATTATGTTCATTAAATTTTTGTATCTCTTGTTTAATTATTTCAACCTAATTCAGACAATCCATCGATTTTTTCCCCGATTCCATAATGAATATTTTAAAATCGAAGCGATATTTCTCGTATATCTAAGATGTTTCCATATCCTTCTTCCTAATGACTAATTGTGTATCATTGACGCAACTTCACTAAATGTCTATTACGAATGTCGATGGTTCCAGTCGGCGTTTTTTTCCCCAAAAAACACAGAAATACATCCGCTGCTACCCAAATGATAAATATACCATACTTGTTCATTAATTGTCCAATGTATGTCAAAATATACTTTTAATACAAATAATCCTAAGGGTTGATCAAAAGAAAATAATCTGAAAGTGAAATTAGTTTAAACGCCATTGTATGAATATTCTACTTTTGCAAAATTCATTGAAATTGTAGTAATAGCAAATATTTGTTATTCATGAGAATAAGGTGAAAGCATTTACAATTAATGACTTCAATGATTTCCGGTAATATAAATGAATATCTATGTTGAATGATTAGTCATTTTCTCACGGCACACATATATTAAGTGTTGAATGAAAAGTCCAACATATGTTACCTAAGTGTGTTTCCTCTCCTTGATTCTAACGTGGCGTGTTCTACTGATAAGATTTGTCAGTAGTATATAAGAGACGCTCATTGGCATAAAAACATCAAGTAACAGGGAGACAGATTTGATGTCAGAGAAAGAAAATGATGCAGCGTTGTGGAGATACATGGGAGACATGAAAGGAACACAATATGGACGACAGAAGTAGCACAGCGCGGAAGATCTGTGCAAACAGTGATTTGAAGATAATCTGTACATAATTTCGCTATACGGTGATAACGAATTCCAAATAAACATTCGTTTATCAAGACTTTCGTCTTCTACTGTTACAATTCCATGAAAGTAACACAAGAGAAGTAACATCTATTCAAGTAGTAATGTAAAAAATAATAGTCTCTTTATCTGAATGAACTCACTCGGTTATCAGTGATGTTGCCTTAAGCTTACATAACTGCTTATATAGCAGAATTTCAGTTAATCATTAATTTAGAATGTTTGCAACACGAAATGATTTTCACAAAGTGGTCCTATGCATTATGTCTTGAGTAATCTAAGTAGTTGGTCACTATTCACTTGCTGAAACATACACTTTATAACAGCGAGCGCAGAAGAAAAATACCTAATTTCGTAATATGCGATTAAGAGAATCGTTCGTCATTAATAGAATAGCGAATTGATGACAATAGTATGCAAAAAAGTAATGATGACATATTGTAGGGAAGAACATTTGATGTGTTTTTATTTGCTTAGAAAATAAAGGCTGAAGAAGGTAGAGAAATTGAATCAAAGTTTGAATTCATGTACAGCCTTAGACGATTATGAATAATAATGAAATCCTTTTACTATCTGATATCAACTGTAGCAAGATGGCGCAGGAGAATATTCAGTGGGTAATTTACCTACTGAGGGAAACACACTTCTAAAGTCAGAATCCCTGAAATAAAAAATGCCTTGTCATAACTGTCGTCTTGTGGTTACTACCTAGTCGTTCACTTAATGGTGTCATCTTGTTAAGCCTTTACACACTACTGTAGTTGACTGAACCCTCTCAGTAAACAGTAAATGAACCCTTGCATCATTTTAGAAACAAAACATTAGGTTTTTTAGATTGAATGGAGATGCAGGCGGTGAACACCAACTTTGCTATCATTACAACTTCTGGATTTCCGTTACCATGCTATGCCAGTGATTTCCGAAGTATGCTGCAGGCGGTGTTTACTTGCGACTTCTACGCAAGTATATTACTCAAGAAGATAAACTGACAAGAGTTCCTGAAATATTACCGGTGAATATCTGCACAAATCTATAAATCTACATACAGTGAGAGATAAACTAGCGGTGCTAATTTTTATCATCGGTTTGGTGGGAAAAAGCTCTGGAACAAACAGAAATAAATTTTTGTGGTCTGAAGAGTTTAATTCAAAATTAACAAGAATGGTAAATGACTCTCACTACTCTGACAACCCCCTTTTAAATTCTGAGAACACAACTTTTATCTATTGAAAAAATAATCTTCTATGAATAGATGTAAATAGTAGATATAATCTTTTTTTGTAAATACACTAGCATTCTAAATGGTATAGTGAGTGTAACAAAGAATAGTGGTGAATAAAAAAATTGAAATGTTAAGTTTTGTTGTACGTTAAACATCACTATAGTTTACACAAGAGTCTAAGTCATAGGGATTATTTCCAAATTTTTGTGCAATTGGAAATATTGACCATTTTCGCCAAAGTGCCAATACATTTAGTACAATCAATGTGGTTAACAGAACAGACCACTGAAATGAACAAAAATAAAATCACATTTAGTTTATTTGTCTGTTTGTTGGTAATAATTAATTTGAGAAAGTTCCATGAATTGTACTTACAGTCTTTTTGGACATCTAATTGCTTGTCTAGAATGAAATAGACTTTTGTGGATGCATCCAAAATGAAAGTTGTTCGGGAATCATCGGCAGTACGCACCTACCGAGGTTCGAACCCAGGACCTTCCGGTTAAAAAGCAAGCTCATGTACCATTCAGCTACTGGAACCCGATTCACTGACCAGCCCATGAATTCTAACCTCCACCAATTCGTGATTTAGCATAACCCCCCAACTAATCCTTACAAACCAAATATAGAAGATTGATCTGATGCTGGCTAGTGACTTGCCACAGGACGGAGTTTCCTGGAGTTCTAGTGAGAAGTCATGACCAGTGAGGTCCATCCAGTCAAGTGTGGATGGATGTCTCACCAACGACATTGGTTGGGATCGCGATAAATCACGATTTGGTAGAAGTTGGAACTCAGGGACCATTGAATCACGTCCCAGTGGCCGAATGGTAGCAAAGTAAATGATATGTAGGTGATGTTAGTCGTTTAGAAAACATGTAAATTGACTTACCTCAATGAGTAACGTAGTGACAGATTTATACGTAAGCATGTACCAGTGAGGATCATTCGCAGTCATATCGTACATCCACCAAATGATCAGAATTACTCCTTGACATGGTACGAGAATTCTAATTTTGAATAAAAGAAAAATCAACGGAAGTCAGTATAATGGTTACTAACTTGAGAGAAGTAGTAAAAGGTTTAAATAACTACAGCAACTTGCTCCAATTTAAAAACCACCATATTTTTTATAGTTTGCTGAATTTCGTCCTGCTGGTTGACTGGCCAGTGGGGCTGCCTAGTAACTTCAATATTCTGGAGAGGCCCAAACAAAGGAGAAACAGCTGTCAAGTGCTCACTAGCTCTTAAAGACTGTGTAAGTGATATCTTTTTCTGATGAGATCTTCCTTGAAATCAATCATATCCCTAAACCCCAACAGTAGACATATTTTTCAGTCTACTGTACTTATACTTCACACAAAGGCGTCATGAAAAGCTCATATATATATAATACACTTTGAAGGATTTTTCACCTTTTCCTTCAAAATATGGTAACTATGTTGGTCGAGAATGAAACTTTTAATCAGTATGAATGAAGTAAAAAATGAAATTAGGAACAAAAAGTCCAGCGAAGAGTCTCTTTTCGGCGAAGTCACTCACTTAGCTATACAGCCGCATTCATGTATATATAATTATTTTGTGTGTGTGTACTTTAGGATTGTAATACAGAAATAAAAATTAGTTAGGGTTATTGTTCACCTCATCGAAATGTCTGAAAAATGTGTTGAATAATCGAATTGTAAAAAGGAGAGTGAAGATTGGTAAGCATTAGCAAGGGTTGCTTAATATGAAAGACACCTAAAAAACAGGATGTTAATCAAAAATCATGGAGATAAGTGTCAAAAATAAATTATATAATAGGTAAAAAGAGTAAGTAAATGGTTGTTTAAGAAGATCTTACTAAGAGGTCAAACAAAAACTCAAAAAGAAAACAAACATTATTAAAAAAGTCATAGAACTTGGAATTATACCCAAGGTAGAAGGATGGGGTGGAGAAGTTTCTTCTGTGTACATGAATCAGGGTCTTCTGACCGGATAGCTAAGGCCTTTATAATGTGAAGTATGTGGAAGCTTACAGTTTTCGGGAAACTTCTTTTGACTTTGTAGATAACTTTGAATGAATTCTCCTCATATACTGAGTGATCAGTGTTGAGTTTGTGTTCACTTATAGCACTCCTTATTGATCCGATGTTACCTTTTCGTAGCCAAGCGTGATAATGTTCTTTAAATCTTTTATTTTTGTTCGACAATCATAATGTACACACACACAAACAAAATAATTATATGTAAATGCGAGTGTACAGCTAAGTGAATGAATTCTCCCGAAAAGAGTCTCTTTGCTGAAGTTTTTGTTTTTATATTCATGTCTGGATGGGTATTTTCCTTGAATTACTGAAATATTGGAATTCTTACCCACTAAGAATCGAAGAAAGCATCCGACTTCATAGTTGCTTGTCTACAACAATGCGCAAGGCTTCCATTTGTGGTAAAGTAAGATAATACGGTGAATAGGTTTTAATTACTGAATTTTGCTTCGACTAGAATTTATCATGAAATAAATTCTCATCTGTACATTACAGAATCACTGTCTGCTTTATCACTATAGTGACTAATTAACTTTGTGAATACAAGGGACGTTATCATTAACTAACCTCATTTCTTATTCACTTATTTTATCCCTAAACACGGAGCACACAAACATATTTAACGACTGTATCTATTCTTTTTTACAGTCGGATGTAATTTAACCGATAAGTAGATGTTTTACAATTATCAGAGAGAAATTCAGTGTGACTCTTAAGGCACACATTAATACAAATTATTACTTTGTAATATGAAGCCGGGAAGTTGTCAAAGTATTTACTGACTATCTAAACAATGAATGTTTCTGCATATGCATAAAAGATGATTGGTTTTCCAACTATTGAATAGGAGACAGAGAAATGCGCCACTCCAGAATAATAATTTTTGTACTACCAATACAAACTTCGGAAATTTCTCAATTTATACCTTGAACTCACATTATGAAAAATACCCATACTTTAGGCAAATTCCAGTCACCTATACCAAATTCATTGACTATGTGACGTCTGTATTTCATAGGACCATACTTAATGACCAGTGTTGCCATCAGTATACCGGATACCAACAGTCCAAAGCCCCAAACATCATCCTTTAAAAACAAAATTAAACATTGAACAAATATAGTAAAACACTCTATGTGAGCAGTAGGAGCAGAAATGACAATTCAACTCACTTTTAAGCACTAGTTAATGAAGAAATAACTAATGGGTTCTTGAGAATTTTTAATTAAATGAAAAACGTTGTTCAATAGAAATAATGACATGGATGAAAACTAACAATCTCGCAGAAAAAGTACTGATATAATTTCAAACATGCGTCAGTGAAATATGCATTACAGCTGGATGATGTAATAATTGCTTCTGAACATTTTATATAAATCATCGATTTATAAACTTCATAAATTGTGGGCTAATTATTTTGAATTTCACATTTACCTCCAAACGATATAACAGCCAGTACTTCCTAAGAACTACGCAGAGAAGATTTTGTTTACTGTAGTTTTGTTCCATGCATTAAAACTGACCAGGCGTACTTTGTGTCTAGGATTAAATGGTAGTAAATACAAAATCCTGTCTACAGTTGTGATCCACTAGTTATATGCAATTTGAGAATTCATTTGTATGTGAGAAACCTTCACAGAATTATATCCTACCTCTTACAAATAATGAATAGTGCTCAGTTAATATTTACCTGGATTCTGGAAGAATGGATTGATGAATTTTGAGAAAAAAATGCTCTGACAGTTTAATTTAAACCAACTGAAATGACATGACAAAGTGATAATGTGTGTAAAAAGAACGAAACTGAATTCAACTTATAGGTGCTGTCCTACATAGGGGTACATATTTATAGGATCAATTGAAGCATGTTGTTAAATGAAAAAATTAAATTTTGCAAGACAACTGGGTTAGATTTGATGACAACTTCTTTCCTCATGATAGTTTTTCTGTTACAGTAGTAAACACAATGAAGAAGCGTAAAAAATCTACTTTCAGAACGTAAAATTGCATGAAACAAAAGTAAAGCAACTCCTCAAAATGAACTTCGAACTTTATGATACAAACCTACTTCGAGTGGTGCTAATTTCAGAGAAGTGGTAAGCTAAACCATAAGGAATTCAGAAATTTGAAAAATCACAGTCAGAAATTAATATATATGTAAAACTTAATCACTATGATGGTGTGCAATCCCATATTAATTTGTTTATTAGATATATCATACAGTGAAACAGTATTATTAACTTGATGACGTTTTGAACAAAATTTACTGTTCATAGTCACATCAATAGACGCCGCTAAGAATAAGGTTAAGAAATCCACAACGGACCTTATACACCGAATGAAGCCGTTTCTAGATGAATTTACATGGTTTAATTTAATGCCAAAAACTAATTACCCCAGTGGGATGTAAGCCGTTTTTAAAGTTCATAAGCCAGGATACCCTACTAAACCTATAGTTGATTTTAGAAATTCACCTACTTATGAAGTGTCTAAATATTTAGCTATGATATTAAATCCTCTCAAAAGCCATTCAAAATCTAGACCAACAAATTCTCATGAACTATAACATAGATTAGATAATTTAAAATTAGAAAGTGAGGAAAAATGGATAGTATTTACACTGTCAGTTTATATACACGTTTAACGATAAATATGGCTAGAGAGGCAGTCAAAAACGAACTCATTTGTGACCAAGAACTTAGAGGAAAAGTGGCACTAGAGGACACATTGCTAAGAGTGCAGCTATGCCTGACTTCCACAGTATTTAAATTCCAATGAAAAATATACAAATAAACTGATAGTTATCATGGGGTCGCCAATATCCCCGATTGTGGCATATACATTCACGGATAGCTGGGAAAACCTAGTGACTGACACGTTCAGCCCCACTCCAAAAGTATGGTGGAGGTATGAGGATGACACATTCATCGTACTTAGAACACAGGATAAAAATAGATTTTTGGAACACATAAACTCAAAGGTGGAGGCGATTCAATTCACATATGAATTAGAAAGTCAGGAAGGGGAGCTTCTAATGTTAGACTGCAACGTAAAAAAGAAAGATGGGAAGTTAAACACTAGTGTCTACAGGAAACCCACACATTCACACCGATATTTGGATTTCCGATCATCCCACCCTACGTCGGTAAAAATAGGATTGTTGAAATATCTAAGTAATAGGACACAAAAACTAAGTAGTACCAAGTAAAATCTAAGACAGGAAGTGAGGCATTTAAGAGAAGCTTTGAAACTTAATAATTACCCTGATAAATTAATCAGGAAGTGTTTAGGAAAATGTAAAAATAAAATAAATAATAGTAGTGATAGTGATGATAATAATAGTAATGACGACATACATGTCAAACATGCACAGGATAATAACAGCAACAGAACTAAGGAATCTAAATCATCAGTAGTACCTCCATACATAGAAGGAACCTTGGAAACCTTAAGGAGAATTCTTAACAATACAGGAATAAAAGTGGCATTTAAACCCATAAACTCAAATAGAAACAAGCTTTGTCGGTTAAAGAATCCTGCCTGTGAAGCCAATTAAACAAAACAACTTAGTTTGTCTAATACTCTGCTCTATTGATTGTCAGGTCAAATAGACAGCTCAAAGCAGTAGAACAGGGGCAGTCCGACTAGCTGAACATAAAAACCTAGCAAAATCTAGATTAGTTGACCCGAATAAGATAAGAAATATGGAGAATAATTCCCCAGCTATAGTACTCACTATATTCAATTACACACAACCATACAATAGGATGGGGTAGGATGACAGTTTTAAAATCTAATGTAACGGGGTGGAGGGGGAGATTGATAACAGAAGCTCTGTTTATCGAATCACCTGCAAACACGTGTAACAGGAATGATTCAACACCTGTCCCAGACATCTGGAAGCTTCTACTACACCTACGACAAATAGGAAAGAATAAAGAAAACTACAAAATGAATGTTTCGAAGTTGTGTGATTATAATTGATACGATTATGAACAATAAATTTTGTTCGAAACGTCATCTAGTAAATAAAACTGTTTCACTGTGTGGTACATCTAATAAACAAATTAATATGGAATTACAGTCCGAAATTCTAAATATTCCACCTTATGAATTGTGTCATTAAGTATCTCCGTTAGTTGTAATAATATATGCCGAATTTGGAAAGTTATGATGCTAAGCAATTTTCGTTAACACGCCTTTATGGAAATGACATGTAGTACTGAATCAATCTAAGTTTCACTATGTCAAATAAGTACAGATCTTATTCCAGTTAATAAAGAAATACACCGATAACTAAACTCTATGCATTTTCCTTGAAGCCAATGAACGCTAAAACATTTATTAGGAAACAATAATTACATCAGACAGATCCATGATTTTTAAACTTAAAACTGTGAATTCATCTGCATTAGGCAGAGAAATCAGTTGATTCGTCGTAAAATTTCGTGTTACTATCACTTTATGTTTAGGTATTTGTACAATGTTTGCATTTCAAATAAGAAACACATCATCTTTTGTCCACATCAGAAATCCGGTGAGAAAAGTTAAAAGCCTTATTCTGAGATTGGCAACATGGTAAGACTGGTGAGTAATTTTGTTGTTACCACTTTTTTTGTGTCCTATGGATCCCACGGTTTAATTGTGAAGCTTTTACGTATCTTTCTTGTTACCATCTTCAAAACTAACTTCAGGATGAAGTAAAACTCATTTAAATGCTTCATTATTAAGCTATTCAGAAATTATATACACTTCCATGGTTCACTGGGGTACACTTTGAAAAATAATCACCGTAGCTTTTCCTTTTTAAAGGACGAGAGGCACAAAAACATATTTGATGCAGTCTTCCTTATAGAAATGAAGCCTATACATCTTTCACTACATCTAGACGTCTATACAGTTTCTTCCAACAAACAATTTGAGTTAAATGAAAAACTAACTTACTTGGTTTGTTAAGACCTTGATGTTAAGAGCAGATAGGAGACCAACTGAAATATTCGCTGTCAATGCGACCGCAACAGATATTTTATGGTTTACTATCAGATTAATAGAATAGAACGAAAGTGATAAATTTACAAGGGTTTGTTTTATAATAAGTAGAAACTAGGTGATTTTATTACTTCCTGTAAATCTTGATTAGTCTAATACAAATACACAACTAACTGCCTAGAATTTCATAGGAGTTCTCCATTTTCTGGTTTTAACTATAAATTTAGGAGTCTCATAGGCATCAGTCTGAACGTACATGTGGCTACACATACATAAGGAGGACTCATCGATCTCTGCAAGTAAGGGCTTCAGAGCATATTCCAAAATGACTCCAGAAGCAAAAAGAATCCCCAGAACCCATTAATGTTGAGAACAAGCGACCTAGCTCCTCTACTGCGAAACATATTATAAAGACAGGACATAAAATTGTTGTTTACAAGCTTTTTAAACCTATCTATAAAATGTGTTTGGATTGTATCCTAAAGTTTAAGGAAGCCTTAGAAATTAGAAAGTTTAAACCACCTTTATGAGTTCAAAAACAATTCGTCATCACACTAAACCTCCATTGGTAAACTTTATTTCGATACCAGGGTAGATATACTATTACCTCTCTTATTCGGTTTAGTAATCTTCATTGTTATTTTGACCTTCAATATGTCCTTTTAAATTGACTTAAGTCTATTTTCTTACCTTTTAGATCTTTCTGATTCCATATATTTTCAAGAGCTGATTTGTTTTTCTAGTTAGACCATGCGTTGGTATCAGTCAGATGACAGTGGTTAGTAGTCCCACTGTCTGAGTGGCTTGAGAGCTTGCCTTGAGACTGGAAGGCCCTGGGTTCGAAACCCAGTGGGCGCGTACTGTCTATGAGTCCCAAACTGGGGTGAAACGGCTGTCCAGTACTCCCTAGTTTTCAGTGGTTCTCTAACTGATATCAACCCCTGGTCTAACTCGAAAAATTTCATATATATTCCTTTGACAAGTCTGTGAGTGACCAGATTGTTCAGAATGCGTTGCACAAATACATTACACGATTCAGGCAGATTACGTCTTCTTATGGCTTTGCCTAAATTATTGTTTAATTTTTCAAAAGTGAATCGGATATATATTTTGACTAATGAAATAGATTACTTCATTTTTTAGGTGAAATGGCCTACATCTAGTGGATTTCAAAATATTTGTTCTTAGACTTTTGCCTAGATCCCTTCCGAAGTCTGTGAAATTATCAGGGAGATTTGAACCATACGTCTACTTCAAGATCATTAATGTGTGCTATATCAGATGCCAATATTTTTATAATTCTTGTGTTTTCCTAAACTCTCTCTAGGGCTCTATGGTACACGGATTAAGGATGTGTCCTTAACAGCTCATTAAATACGTCTGATATTGTGATACCATAGACAGAAATGTAAAATTTTTTATATCTTCAGGTATGCCGGCATACTGAATTCCATCCAAGTGATAAATTTGATTCTTTATGCCTTGACATTAGATCATTTCACGAATCATAAAAACTCTCCAACTGTCTTCTTATTATAAAAAAATATTTTTACCTGAGTATTGCACGATTTTTGATGAAGATATTTAACCAACAACACCAAGCAACAATCACCACTAACCAGAGAAATCGGAAGGAAGTTATCACCACCACTTACCTGAACAGCGTCTTTTCTGCTGCAGGTGGCACAGATGAGGGTGTCAGAAGCAGGATCGGAAAAATGACACCACTCAGTATGAGGAACAATGTTCAGATCCTCAACACTAACGTCCCCTCAGTACTCCTGTTTAGTTCAGTGACTTGACGTGTACATCACCAAAAGCATTCCCAAGAGGCTGCAAACTGTTATCAACAGCGACCTTCACTGGCTCGATAGTGAAGATGAGATGTTTGGAAAGGATTAGCCACAAAGAACTTTGACAACTAACGAACCAAGAAGCTATCAACCGAAAATTTGTAGAAGAAGGTGGAAGTGAATCGGAAAGACGCTGAGACTGTTGAGTGACATCACATGCCAGGCTGTCGAATGGAATTCGGATGGGAAACATATTGACATGGAGAAGGTCATGTTACGTGTGAAGTAAAAATGCTAATTACTTGTGTACAGTTCACAGCGTACATAACTCTTATTTTTACTTCCACTACGTAAACGTTAAAGTAGAACAAATTCATGGATTTTAGAGATTCTTTTCCTTACTACATACCCTGAGATTAAGAATCCGATTTTCATAACTACATATATCTCTGTGCTTAAAAGCTGTCAGGTATTGAATTATTTTCAGATGCTAACTTCATTTGAACTATGAAACAGGTTTTATTATTTTAATGTGGTGAATGAATAGGTTTAATTTATTTTCAGATTCAGTACTTAATAGATGACTAACTCTCATATCGATGAATAAAGGTGTTTGGTACCGTAGTTTTTATGTTTTCCTCAGCAATACTTCATTTTTTGGCTCATCACACACATAACCAAGCAGATTATATTTAAATATGACGCCTACATAAGATTCACATTGCCAACCTGTTAAATACCTTATTGTAAAGCACTTTTAAATTCCTGTGGTTATAATGTTTTTGAGTAAAGAACACCATAGCTATGGCATAGACAGTATTTGCAAAATAGTCACGTACGACTGCTTAAAAAGACAGAAGATACTGCGGTCACTGAAGTAAACCTCATATCTTTTTGAATAAGTCAATAAGAATTAAGGGTAAATGATTATTTAGCCGTATATTTCTTATTGGTGTAATTACATCTCACCATCAATGAGATGCCACTAGATTGAGCTGTGTTACTTGGCGTTTTGTATTTTAGCGTATCTTAACTAGTATGTTTTGACTATAGCTTTTGGAATGCAATGCTTGCCTAGCATTATTTCCATCAAGGCAAACACAGTGGATATTTCAGTGGCGATAAATTAAGAGAATAAGTCAGTCAGTTGTAGCTCAAGTCTGCTGTCCAGTGATTGCCATTTGCAATTTAAGTTGGGCATTTTTACAACCTTGGGTGATATGTATAGTGTCACGTACTGTGACTATGATAAAGTCTAGTAGAGGCGATTACTGTAATGTACAACTCTTCCACATTATTTGAAATAGATACCAAGGAAGGAAATTGTTTAACTGCTTTTTGAATCAAGTTGCTAGAATTCCTTTGCAGTTTAAAAATGTCTTTACACATCTCTATAGGTCAGACGGTAGATATATGACATTATGGGCGTAAAACTGGACAGTAAAACCTTTAAATACTTCGGACAACTCTAGCTATTTTACTTCAAGTAGATAAATAGTCTAACAGTGCTTCTCTATACAGAAACATATTTAAGTTCACAACTCGTTTATACATAAAAAAATTGATCCTTCATTATGAAATCATTTAGAGATGAATTAATTAATAATCGTCTTACATCCAGTATCATCCAGAACCATTGTGTACACCTGAAGATCAGAAATAGTGGTACTTAGTCCAGCAACTGTTAGGCATATAAAGAACAATGTACACAGCACTCTACCGATCACTCCCAAACTCTCGAATAATACTGGAAACCTGTAAATATAAATTTGAAATAAATGTAAACTGTTAGAATTACGTATTTCCATACAAGTATGACACTGATGAATACAAGGCACAAAAATGCTTTTAATCCAATAAGTAACTTCCTTCTAGTCTCCAGATTCTCCGTTACATGCTTCATATAGTCGTAAAAGCAGAAAGGAATAGTATACAACTGAGTATGTACTACAATGCAGTGAAACATGTAGTTTGTATACCCCAAAAGCTAGGTAGATCAATATTTCATACATTTATTCCCCTTGATGAATTTGAACAAAGCAAAAACTACAGTTTTAGCAGAATAAAATGGTACCATCTTTTATTTCGTTGCCTTCTCTTCAGCTGCTTACATGGCAGTGACAGATTATAAAGAAAAGAGTGGAAACTGAGAATAGCAAATAATCGAAGGCAGGCCCCTTTAACATCTTGATACATAGTATTTTGATCGACGGGTCTATAGACCTTTAGTTCAAGAATAAGAAAAAATAGTTTCCCTGGTCATCTTAAGTAAGCAAGTAGGTGTGTGAGTTAGTCACTAGATCTGACATTCATTTAGGGCGCCACCAACCACTAGGATGCAAATAAAACCAAGTGACAAGCCCTTAAAAAAGTGAAGTGCCATTCCTTTAAATTACTACTCACCATCGTTCATCTCCTAAAATATTACTAACATTACAGGTATTATGCAAGCGTCCATCATAGAGGCAAGGATGTCACCAAGCACTGGTCATTACAGTTGTGTAAAACTAGCATGGGGTGATTCAAATGTTTTCGTAAATGTTGACTGTTTAGCTCGAAATGACACAATTTATCCACTGGCTTCTTGGTCTTCATGGACAGTTTATTACTTTCTTCTTCCTATTTTTACATCAGTTAGAGGAAAGCAAAAAAAGAACATGTTTGCATGATAAAAAGGCCTCATATTTTTTTATTTTATGGCTTTTCCTATATTAATGTACACTTTGTTTTCTGATGTGGTTGTGTTCTCTGAGCTGGATAGTTAATTTGTGAAGCTTTCATCGCCCTAATAGGCGACATCTTCAGCGCACACTTCAATTTAAAGTGAGCTTTTAGATTTCTCCACGAGTTTGTTAATCATCTCTCCTGGTGACCTTGGACGTGGTTGGTTGTTTTTGTGTGTCTTCACATCTTCTATGCTACTTTTACTGGAAGTGATTGTTTCCTTGACTTGAACTTTGACCGTTTGTGTGTGAGGTTTTTTTCTTATCGGTTGATAAACTTTGTCTATCTCGATGTGTCCATTGATTGATGATTCACTGGAATACCAAGCTTCTAGCAATTCTCTAGCATCCTTGTTGTTTCCTCTGTCTAATATTTGAACGCTGGTTGTCCCAGTCGAAGTGATGCCCGTGGTTGTATGTATGTAGTGATATGAGGGAGTGGATGTCATGTCCTTTGACGGCTAGCTTATGTTCGTGGATACGAAGATGAAGAGGACGAACATATCTTCGTTCTTTTCCTGTGTTTTTGTTAGTCACTACTTTTTAGATTACTAGTCAGTGAGTTAAAGCCGTTATTTATCTTCCAGTTGGCTTTGTTGTTTATTTGCGCAGTAAATTTGCTTTAATTACCATTTGTTTTCACCCTTACCCCCATCATCTCGAATTCTCCAACAAATTACGTATAAATGAACTGTAGTGGTCAGATTACAGACATTTTTGTATTCACACCTCTTGTTCCACGGTTATGCCCTTTGAGTTGATATAATTTTTGAGATTTGTTATGTATTTTCACATTTCGAATAACCTATGTCATTTTTAAGGCAGTTAACGACTGAGGAAAAGTCATAAAAGAAAAAAACCTGAGCCTCTTTTTCTTGCAACTATGTTTGGTCTCGCTCATATCAGTGTTCACGCGTCATTACTTTAGTCATAGAAGTATGTACTTTACAGAAGTATTTACTGATGACAATAGATTTAGTGACTTAGTTCGCTGATTTAATTACTAACCACAAAACCATTTAGTGAAATACTTTTAATTTCAGTCTGCTACAGAGCGTCTGTGACACAGCGGTAGAATGCTCGCCAACCACGCAGGTGGTTTGGGATTCGATCTCCAACCGACGCATTCTTTTACCTCGTTAAGCCAGTAATTAGACTGGTAAAGAGGGAAGGTTGGATATGAGGCTAGCAAATCCATCCAGTAAAAATAAATACTGCTACTACGAAGACTTCAGAGCTCTAGCTTGAAGCCCTATGTTCCACTGAGAAAGTAAAAGGAATAAAAAAGAAAGAGTGAAGGAAAGAAAACTAACTCATTCTTATGTAAAACGCAGTGCGCATAATTAATTACGAAATGACTAAATAATAATTCCAAGGGATTGCTTGCTGTCTTTATTCACTATGGTGGTCATGAAAATATTAGATAGTAAAACATTACACACTTGATTAAAGCGAAAAACTTACCAAATAAATGTAAGACCTGTACTACCAGGTCCTGTTGACTGCATTAGTTTTACAATTCCTAGGCGTGTAATCGTGGGTGTAGTTTGAATCAAGGTGGAAAATACAGTAGAGAACACTGCAATGGAGCTTATAAAGCTGAAATGATAACAGACCACGAGTATCAATAAATTTAGAGACAATTGAAAAGTATGAGACTCAAAAGAGTTTGAATTCATCTCAAGAGATTGATGAACTTATTGAAATAAATATTTTAATCATATTTGCAAGATTATTGTAATGATAATGAAACCAAAATGAAGTCAATTACTTCAACTATTCCTCTTACACTTTTTTATGCATACTGTTTGCTGAATCCTAAGTTATTCGATCGGGAATGTTATGCTGAACATGTACACAAACCAGCTGAACGTGTAACCTGTTATAGACGAAAACTTGGTGCAACTGGATATACTTCCAGATACACTGCGAGTACCTCATAATGCAGCAGTCCCAGAAATTAAGTTTAAAACTAATCGTGTTCCTGAGGAAACAATCAACACCCAGCGAAATACTGAAAATCTAACAGACAATTTCAACTTTGCGTTATTTTTAAGGTGAAAGATGATGAGCACCTCGCTGTACTATTGTAAAGGTAAGGCCAGAGTGGTTATAGAAGAATGTATCATCCTGCTACTAACATCTGGTTATTGGAGAGCACGTGAAAAATCGAAGCACCTTCCTGGAAAGACTCATGAAATAGACTGGGCGTTGCTAGAGAATTTTACGTCATGTTCGGAAATAGAACATATGATGCTGAAGCTACGTCATGACTTGGTATCAAAATGAAAAACAGATCTTGATCTTTAGAACAAATAAACTACTGTACAATTTTAAATTCCCAGGGTACTTTTAAATATGTAATGAGAATAATAACTACCGTGATACAGGTGAAACATTGGAGGACATTACAGTCAAAAGCCAACATTTTCTGAGTTGATACAGTTTGTGTCTGCTTGAGTAAGCATCTTACTTAGCACATTTGGAAAACTATAGGCAAGTGATCAATGAAAAAACAGTGTGTTCCACACAACAGCTTAGGCTTGTTGTGGTTGATAAAAAGCACTGTACGGTTTATGGAGGTGGCCACATGGCTACCGAATGTTAGTTATTGTTGGTACTTCCTGCAAATGAAAGACGGTCACAGGCTAAGGAGCTGGAACTTTGCTTCACTTGTAAATGTCATAGTGGGTGTAGTTCTCAAGCTGGCAAAGAGCTCCGTTGCTGAAATCTGCATACATCAATCCAACATCTGACGAAAAATACTTGTATGAGTCATTTCATAACCACCACTTACGCAACAAATGGCTGTAGTTCTAACCAAAAAGGGGGAATTTTCATCAAAAATCTAAATAATCGTCACACTAGTAAATGATTTTCAAGCCGAAATAAGGAAGCTGAACCAAAGAGGAAAGCTCATTAAAATTATCTATTGAGTTTCATGCTGATTGTCTCAAACAACTGTATTAGGATAACTACTTGTCAATGGCCAGCACTAACTTCAAACCAAAGAATAGACATTGTTTCACTTGGTAATCTCATACATTACACTAGTAGTCAACAGAAGTAGATTACTTCACACTAAGTAATTGGTCTGGAGGACCACTTAAATACTTTTGGAAGATCTTCATGGAATCCAGCCATATATTAGATCATCTGAGAAGTAAATATGTGTTTAGCGTTTTTGAGGAAAATTCGAAGTTTATATCATGTAGTAAGGAGTTACCTAAATATTTTTTGACCATGGTAACAATACCGTTCTTGAAAAATTCCTGGCACTATAACCATCCCTCTTTGTAGACAGTCATTGAGGTATCTGATGACTTGGGGCTAAGCGCTAATAAAAGCAAGTAGGTTTCCGTATCTTTATCCAAGCTGATCCATTGAAGCAGACTTATGCCAGCTGGCACTAGATTCAATGGAACTATAAAAGCTACTACACTGGCTAAAGGCTGTTGCAACAACCATGAACAGCGGTGGACAATTTAAGTGATAGAAATGAAGTTACGTTAGTATCCAATGTCCATCAACTATACACAACACTATTTGCAGCACACAGATTCTACGAAAATTTGATGAAAACTATCCGAACAGAATGCTTAGGATGAATAATTACCCCCTCCCCCCAAAATCATTGGAAAATGTAATAAACGATCTAAAGGGCTCATTAACATCGGCCTGTAAGACAAATAAAATTAACGAAATCACTTTTAATGACTGCTCACAAAACTACTTTAGCCAGTCGAGTCGCAAGGTGATCCAGAGAATTTAAGAACATCAGTTTGCAGTAAGAAGAAACTCTTCACCAATCTTGGTGTCAATCCATGTAGACAACTAAAATAGCAGCTTCGGCCAACAGAATACTGCCAACTTACAATCTCTAAGCTTGAAAGTAACAAGCTGTTTTATTTTCAGAAACGTGGTTCTCAAGACAAAATACATTTGGCAAACACACATGTATTGGCCCAATCAATGGATTACCTTAAAATAATAACAGTTACTCCTCGATCAACCAACCTAAAATCAATCGAATACATAAGCAATAAAATAAGACGACATCATATTGAAGCACCTGTTCCTCACTCAAACTGATCAGTACATATGAGAAGTTAAATGAAGATGACAGAATTACGTAGTGAGACCTATAATTTAATGAGAGAATTTTAACTAGGGCGCACACAGAAAGACAAGAAATTTCATTCTACCTAAGATTTCGGGAGAACAGATGAGTCAGAAAGCGTCAGAAAAATGAAATAAATAAAAATGTTAGGTTGAAAAATTAATAGGGTCCCTATCATGATAATGGAAGTAGATGAAAGATTTTCTTTTGTATTCCGAGCTTCGGTTTCTCAATATGAATAGCTACGGCTTCAGCAGGGCAAAGAAGGAGAAAGCGGGTCGCCCTAGGCAGGCTACTTTTCACATTATAGGTCACCTTGAAAGAGGAGTTTGTTGAGACAGAGTGATCAATGCTTGTGTGCACCTTGATTAAAACTCACTTATTTATCTCATTACGTAATTCTATCACCCTCATTCAAATTCTCATATGTATGTATCAGCAACTACGCTTATTATTCCTCTCTTCTTACTATCAAATTTTATGCAAATAAACTATGACTATACACCTAAATAAAATGAATTCTCCAAAAATAAACTCTTCCACCTAACTACTTGTCTTCTTTTTACAAATAATATTTGTGTTTGAACCGATATAGTTTATCAGTCTTACAGGGTACATAGTTTTCCACCAATCGTAAAAAGCAATTCAACGGGGAATCATCTGTTACCTCACTAAATTATTCAGCATTGGAATGATAGTACCATATCTAACAGCTCCACGTTCTCTGCTCATGAATGCTGCAAATGTGGCTAACGCCCCAATACCAGCTCCCGTATCAAAAGCGTTCTGACTTGCTGCTGCAATCCACATTGCTGGATCTTTCAAACTACCTGAAGGATTTAAGAGACAGGCAATAAGTCAGTAATATAATTATCACTTATTTTAGGTGTAAAAATGTGAATGAAGGCACTTCACGTTTTGTAACCACGAAATAAGTAAAAATCATAGGATGATAAGCATGTATATATCATTTAGACAAGTGATTTCTTCTTTATTTCCTTTCACAAATGGATTGTGAAATGATTATTCTTATGTATTATTATGATTCCCTCGCGTTCTGAGTGGAACACAAGGCTTCAACAATACATCCCCACTTTGTCCTGTCTTTTGCTGTCCTCTTCAGATAAGTCCACGATTGACTGAACTCTCTCATCTCTTCCTCACACGATCTCCATCATGTCACCCTCACACTGATAACCCACTCGTCGCTTCCCGTTTGGATTTCACTCGAGTGATGGCCTGGCGTGCGATGTGATTTGGCGGCCTACTCAGTGCATGCCCAATCCATCTCCACTTTCGCCTACATATTTGTTGAGCGATAGCTTGGTTAGTTTGTTCTCACAGCTTCTTATTGCTTATTCTTTCTGGCGATTTGACCTTCAGTATGGAACTTATTCTTAATGAGTGTTGAATAGTGCTGAAATGGAAGTGAATAGCGCTAAATTAAATCTGATTTGCTGTTAGTTGGTGTATTGATATCGAAGAACATTTATAGAGGCAGCAGTGGCGTTAATGAAGTGAATAAAACAAGATGTTTTCAAATAATTTTTTTATTCCTTCACGTTCCCAGTGGAACATAGGGCTTCAAGCTACAGGCTTGAAATTTTTGTGGCAGTGTTTATTTTTACAGGATGTGGTTGCTAGCCTCGTGCCCAACCTTCCCTCTCTACCAGTCTTGTTACTGGCTTAGCGAGGTAAAGGAGTGGGTCAACCGAGGATCGAAACCCCGGATCATGTGCATAGTCAGCGAGCGTCCTAACCGCTGTGCCACAGACGCACTTCAAATAATGTAATAATGTAATGTAATAAACTGTTAGAACAAGGTGACTTACTCCATGTTGGTGTAAATAAGAACTTTATTCCGACTTCAGCATATCTTCGTGTTAATGACCAACCAAATGTAAAAGTTACAATGAGCAATAGAAAAGGAACCAATATATTGTTCACTTTCTCAATCCACTTTATACCTCCGTATATACAAACGGCTGCAATACATACACTCATACACTGAGTGAGAACTGGCCAGTATGAATCCTATAAGAAATTTGATAGAAAATGAAATTAAGGTTAATTATAGCCTCAACATTCATATTAGCAAATAAATGTGTATTTATTACCAATGAGTGGTAGAAACTACCGCAATCCATTTGTTTCTTTCATCTCGATGTGTCTTAATGATTTCTTTTCAAATGATTTATTTCGCCATTTTCATATTTGGTTTGGGATTGATGACCTCTAGATTCCATTTCTATTTGCCCTACTGCTGTAGGTGCTCAGGTGAAAAAAGGCATTGAAGTGTTTTTCATAAGACCAAAGCAAACTTACATTCCTCAATTTTGTCTTATTTTTTCATTAATAGGAATATCAGAGATTTAATTCATATTGACGATAGCTTTTAATTATTGGCCGTATCTTTTTCTTCCTTCACGTTCCCAGTGGAACATAGGGCTTCAAGCTGGTGGCTTGAAGTTTCGGTGGCGGTGGCGTTCACTTTTACAGGATGGAGTTACTAGCCTCATATCCAACCTTTCCTTTTTACCAGCATTATTTCTGGCTTAGCGAGGTAACGGAGTGCGTCGGCTGGGTATCGAACCCCGGACCATGTGCATGGTCGGCGGGTGTCCTAACCACTATGCCACCAACGCATTTGGCCGTGTCTGATACTTACTGAATTCAACCTTTAAGGGCGGTAAAGACTAAATATCCTGTGCAACGTGACTGACTAAAATTTCTTCTTGGATTCCTACTATGTTGGGTGATTAGGCTTTGACATGTCAAGAAGTATACTTCTTCGAGATAAGAATTTTATGTGAAGCTAGTTATTTTTGATTGTATACTAGTCAGTAACTAGTGTAATGTGTCTAGTCCTATCTTCACTGCAGACTGAATTCTATCAGTCAAGCTTGCAATGTGGCCACCTTGCTAGGCGGCTAGCCACTGAGGTGCACTGTGAATTGTTGATATTAGATGGTTGGAGGCAATCGGCCACAGGAAGCCTCCGACCTAGGTTTCGTGCTAGTTGGCACTCATCAGCAAGGCGTATCTGTAACCTTGAAGGAACTCATGTCTCTTCTGATATTCGAAACCGCATCACCCAGTGCTGTAGTCAGAGACGTTACTACAGCTAGTTAACGTAACTGACTTTCAGACAATTTTTCTTGTAAAATACAAACTTATGAGAAAATAACTGACCTGTCTGGCATATATCTTAGTTCACTGGTGTGGGACTTCTTGCTGTTAGTGACTGAGTTGAGTGGCTTACGCAGACACTCTGAATATCAGAATGGGTTTTTAGTGCAAGTTTAGTTTTGTTTTTCATGAAATTGTCCAGCACAAGCCACTGTAATCATCTTCGGTCTAGTGGGGATAATAATTGTCAGTGACTTCTATGCAACGAAACGGGTCTGCTAATCAGTGATGACCAGTTCTGTTTGACATTTTCATGGTGTCTTGCAAGTGAAGCTATGATCTACCATAATTTACATTTTGTATTTTTGTCCTTTTTGAATTTATTCGCATAAGAACTTTTACGCTAATCATGATGAAAAGCATAAGTACTATTAGGTTATATTTTGTTTTTTCCTTCACGTTCCCAGTGGAACATAGGGCTTCAAGCTGGTGGCTTGAAGTTTCGGTGGCGGTGGCGTTCACTTTTACAGGATGGAGTTACTAGCCTCATGTCCAAACTTCCCTCTTTACCAGCATTATTTCTGGCTCAACGAGGTAACGGAGTGCGTCGGCTGGGTATCGAACCCCGGACCATGTGCATGGTCGGCGAGCGTCCTAACCGCTGTGCCACCAACGCATACTAGGTTATGAGATCAAATAATGCTTTTCTTAATCAAACCGTAAAATATACTTATTTTGAACCCACCCAAAAAATTAAGTATACAAGTAACAATTACCCTATTACCTTGAGAGCATTAGGGTACTTTCGGATACATTCTCGGCAGAAATAATTTCTCCAATTTTGTTTACGTAAATTTTGTTTTTGGGATACAGATGCTTCTCTAACATAGTCTGATTTATTATGGCGTATAACGCGAAATGAAGCAATTAGAACGCGCTTATCATGGGGATGTTTGGATAAAAAATGTCTCATTAAATATACTGTTGAAGTGATTTTAATACGGTACACAACTGTACTCACATAAATCTCTTAGTTTTAGAAACTGTTATTTTTTCCTCTGCCAACAATAATAGCTTCTCAGAACGCGAAAAATTCTATCAATAAATTAGGGATTTCGAAATTATGATTTCGAAATCAGAAACACCATACGCTGTCAACTCATCATACATTTCAAATATTAAATAACTTCTGAATCGTTAGGTCGAAAATTACAAAACTCTTTAGCTGAGAAGTTACTTATCATTGTTTTCGTCTTATTCCTTACAGATTATTGCTTCTGAAATCAGATCTGTTCATTTAGTTAGTGTCCTTTCATTTGTATACTACAATGTCTAAGTATTCAAGATACTGAGTACTGCAATTCGTGCTGGTGAATGAAGGTAAAACGAAAATCTCAGTTACTGTATAATTCGAACCAGTAACCCACAAATTACTAGTCCGATAATATGTTAGCTGAAATACCAACACATCTAATTGGACACTAGTAACAAGTGTGATGTGTCTAGTCCTTTGTTTGGCGCAGACTGAACTCTATGAGTCAGGTTTGCAATCTGACCACCATTCTAAATAGCTTGCCACCACGGTGCACATTGATTTGATGACATTAGATAGTTGGAGGCAACCGGCAGGAAAACTTGGACCTAGGTTTCGTGACAGTTGGTAGTCACAAGTCAGCAAGGCGTATTTTCAGCCTTGAAGGAACTCATATCCCTTCTGAGATTCAAACCCGTTTTACCCAGTGCTGCAATTAGACACGTTACCACTAAGCTATTTTCACTGCCACCACCATGGTCAGTGCCTAGTTCTCATATGAATGAATGAATGATTTTTATTGATTTTTTGTCATCGCTTTAGCTAACCATCTAAAACCATTAATATTATTCATTTTTTAAATGCTTTTACCATAAAAATAAATCAACTACACATTTATTTTAAGGTTAGTGCTGCCTATTGACATGTAGTTATCCAAATAAAGTTGTTAGAGACAATCAGCGATTTTTCTTTTGGTCAGCATGAGACTCAATAGATAATTTCAATAAGCTTTCCTCTTTTGGCGTGAAAATCATTCTCTAATGTTACCACTATTTAGCTTTTTGATGAAAATGACTCCCTTTTTCGTCTGAACTGCAACCATTTTTTGCGTAAATGGTGGTTATGAAATAACACCCATAACTATTTTTCATCAAACGTTAATTTGAAACGCTCAGTGACTTCTTTGACGTATGCGGATTTCGGTAATGGAACTCTCTGCTAGCTTAGGAACTCAGTTCCAACTTCATAATACCTTCCAAAAGTAATCGACTCTCCAATCTGTTCTACTTTACTTGTCTCACGTATTGCGTAATCGAAAAATAAAATACTCTGATAAAGTGGACTGTATATTCAATTAGAAGATATTCAGTATCTCACAGAGGACTATGGAGTGTGAATGATGCAACACTATTTTCCGTGAGAATTATGCTGGATGAATACTTTTTCAAGTCTTGCTGCCTTATATCATGTATTTTAAATGACGCAGTAAACAAAAAACTACCTAAGGCAGTGTGTTTCCGACTTCTTTGTACTGCAGAAGCTCTCGCTGTATGCATCGAAAAGATGGAGCTATCTGTTCAAAAGAAAATAGTCCAGCCTCTACAACTATCATGGACCTAGTTCGGTATGTTCCCTTATCCTCCATTTTTGTTTTGTTATCTGTGTGTGTAATTTTCTCGCTTAACCTTCATTCAATTCATCCTATTTTTCAGTTATAAAATCAGTTATTTTAAGTTTGGTTCCTCCATGGTCCTCCTGATCACACTTGTAATCCGTTTAGAATAACCATTTTACAATTATATTCTAATCCTCTGTAATTTTCTGTTTCTATGCCTCTAGTAATCTATATTCACACCTCCTAACTTACACTTCAAGTTGAAAATTTTGATTTCAGCTTATTTTATGTTGATGCAATTCAGCTGTAATCTGTCAATATTACTGATTTGATGTTATTTAAACATTAATGTCGATCATAACAATAACTAATTCATTCACTGTAATGTATATATAACTGTAGAGCCTGATGATGAATTTATCGAAAAGTTTGTTCAGTATTCATTCTTTTGAAAATTTTGATTTCAATTTGTTTCCATGCTCATTTTGTTCACACCTGTAATTCGTTCTATCCCTGTGTCTCTAAGCCTCTTGTAATTCATATCAAGTTGAAAACAATTATCACCTTCTATTTGACTTAAAATTAATTCTCCAGTTATCAAATATTAATTTTACACACGTTATAACTGTTTTCTAATCCTATGCAATCTTGTCTCTAAGCCCCTTGTATTCTATATTCATACCTTCAAACTTTCATATCAAGTTGAAAATTATTATCACCTTCGTTACTATGTGGAATTAAACAAATAATAATTGTATCCATGTTGACGAATGTATATAAATGCGATTGTAGAGCTTGTGAGAATGAAATCGCCGAAATGATATCTTTGCTGAACTTCTGGCTCCTTTAAACGAGTCACACGTTTTTGATGAATCTTAGATGAATAGGAAACTTATCTTCAGACATTCATTTCAAAATGATGCAGTCCTTTACATTTTTAGCAAAAGTCAATATTTTTAGTAAAAGTTCGATAAGAAATAAAGTAATTTATGAACATTTTGACCATATACCTAACATTACTTTGTTATACTCCATAGCATTTTCAACTCAGAAATGTTGAAAATCATTTGCCGATTTTACATTAATGGAAAAAAACATTAGCTGCCTGATTTTTAGTTGTACATTAAAGACTTAAGATATCTTAACATTTCATCACTATGCAGTACATATTACTTTAGTAATTAATTAGGCAAAGGTAGTTTCATATTTTCACATCAAATGGGGAGTGGTTAGGAATTCTATTTGTTAGGATAAAATATTTGTTTTAAGGCATGTTGTAGCCGGATTGGACAAAGTGCTTTTCTGCGTAGTATCTAAAATTGCCGGTCACTTGTCATTTGAACACTGTCTTGTTGTGAATGTTCAGAATATATATAGTGATTTGGCATAATTTAAAGTCGGTAATGTGTCAACTTAAGAACACGGAGTAGAGTAGATAACCCTGATCTATGAAAATTACTTTGCGTAGCATAGTCTTCTTATAAATTATGCTTGCTATACAACTATGTCTTTAATGCAAGAGGTAAGTAATCAGATGAATTGATTTAATTACATTTTAAAATATATCTATTCTTATCAAGAGAATCAATAATAATAATAATAACAAGCGCTTACCATTGCATAGTCGTTAAATCTTTTCTTACTTTCTATTTCACTTTTAGGTAGGCCAACAAAACAGGACATATAAGAGTAATATAAACACCAACCGATAATCACTGGATAATAGCAGCTGAAGGTAGAGAATTTTTATTATTGTATTGTATTTATTTATTCATATGAGCTAGAAATTTACAGAAATTTACTTAACTCATACTCATTACTGACATTGTGTTCATCATACAGTGTCAAAACAAGCTGACAAACTAGTCAACTTCACTACTGCATACTATCTTTCTTAAAGTTCCTTATTTTTCAGTTAAAATTAGATGCGGAAAGATTTCTATGGTGAATTTCTGTTTTCTATACAACAGTATAAGAGAAAAATACTTATACTTAAACATTGCAATACAAGTTTAGATGAGTGGAAATGCGGGTGCGTAGCCACAGTTAAATAACATCTGATAACGCATAATAAAGTTGCCTGGTTATGTTGAGTTTGAAAGATTATGTAGATTGAAAACATTTTTTAATTAATTTTTGACTCATTCAAAGATAATTCCTATGACCAGGTTTTTGACTGCACTTCCACTAGTCACAGAAGAAGGTAGTTTATACATTATTATGGAATGAGGAACTTATAGCTTAAAGCATTGCGAACTACTACTACTACTACTACTACTACAACCAGAGTCCTCTTTCAACATCATCTACAAAGTGAAGCCAAATTTTACAAAGGGCGTCAGGTTTCGGCTTTTGTGTATGGCGGAGGCGCTGGCAATCCATCAATACAACCCTGAACTCTGTATACAGAAAAAGTTTGTCCAGTCTCTTATTCTACCTTGGTCTTAACCTCTTCACTAATCGTTCCCTGTAAAAACAATTTTTTCAGTTTTTCTTTTGTTCTTAATTTCTAATTTTACTTTTAGTTTGTTTTTGCTTTAATAATTAATTCACTATTATCAGTTTCACATGCTCCTTTGGTATATTTTCACACCCTCTTCACACTTGTTAAATTGACACTCAAATACCTTTATTCTCATTCAAGAGCAATTTTAACCTTATCAAACTTCTATCTTTGTGCCGTTGAGTACCATGTAATTTGCAACTTTTAATTTTCACTTCTAAAGCCACTTATGATTAATTATATCAATTATGTCACCCCCTATTACTCAATAATAGACCACTATACATTTTTCTAAGTATAAATACGACTTTACAGCCTCTGAAGATGATTTCGTCGATAAAGAAAATTTTCTTCGCTGAATCTGTCTTTTATTTTCTTCATGAACCATTGCTATCTCAAATCCTAATACTCACACAAATCTCATTGTGGCATTACCGACACTTCTAAATCCATTCAATCCATAATGCATTAGTGAAATCACAGGGAAGATTTGTAGCTCAGGTGGATGATTTGTAATTAGTAGTGTTCTCTGAACTGGTTGGTTTTGTTGCAGAGCTTTCGTCGTCCTTCTGGACAACATCTTCAGCGCAATTTTAATCATAAAGTGAAATGATTTAAATTTTTCGTGACTGATAGAATTGCGTCTCCCGGTAACCATCTTTACATATGTATTGATCATTTTCTATTGACTTGGATTTTAAACTTTTTGGTCAGTTTGATTGGGATAATGTCGAAATCTTAGACAGAGGAAACACTAAAAGTGCCAGGGAATTCCTAGAAGCCTGGTACTCAAACGAATATGCAGTTAACAAACACGTTAATATAGACCAAATATACCAACTAATAAAAAGTAAACCATGTGATCAGAAAGTCTAAAATCCAAGTCAATAGAAAATGATCAATACATATGTAAAGATGGTTACCGGGAGACGCAATTCTATCACTCATGAAAAATTTAAATCACTCCACTTCATGCTTAAAATTGCGCTGAAGATGTTGTCCATAAGGATGATGAAAGCTTCGCAACTAAACCAACCAGTTCAGAGAACACTATTCATTCTAATGCATTAGTGATTTTCCACATTTCCACTCAGAAGTTTTCATTGGGTTGAAGCACATTCATTCAGCACCAGGCACTGTTGGCACCTCGGTGAATTAATTGCAGGAATTCAATGACTCGACTTCAGTCCACTGATCATTGGTGAACTGAAGTGAGGCAGATAATAATAATAATAATAATCATTTTATTTCAAACAACAAATACTTAAGTGTTCTATCACGAAAAGTTGAGAGTAAGTAGTAGTTAATAAAATTAATTGGAGGTGACTCTGCATCGCAGACTAATTAAGGTTGCAAACCATATATCATCGCACTTTGGTTTAACACTTATACTATCGTCTAGTAACTTAGAGGTTCTGTACTTAATCCCTTGTGGTATTTTGTACTCTGACATCTTATAACATATTAAGTACTTACTAACCCTTGGCATTCTCACAAATTAAGAAACCGGTGCAAATTCGCAAGTTCATCTTCCCTAAATTTGGCAATATCCTATAAAACCTAAAATCTTATTTAATAATCTTTAGTTCAAATGTATTGTTATAAACAGCTTTCAGAAATGTTTGTGGAGACTCAAAAATAAAGGTAATTCATTGCTACTAGTTTTAAGTGACTGTTCGATTCCGCTTTTGAATTTAGGCCTAATAATTTATTGAAGAGTAAGAATGGAATCGCCCTCCACATTTCGCCCAAAATAGTTCTCAGATTCATTCACTTTCAGATAACGCTACTTGTAATAAATTCATAAATTCAGCACCTGTTTGAACTAAGGCAAATATATTTCATCGCTTGTTTTAAGTATTCGCATCGTGGTACAAGATAAAACTATACTTTTGTAATTTTAGAGTATATAAACTCAAATTTTCAACATATTGACAATAATTTTGACTTCAATCATAGTTTATTTGTTTAGTCGATTGTCGGAAGTTTTGCTATATTACTTTGACGTATGCTTCTCTTAGACAATTATAACACTTTCTTTTGGTATATGACAGCTACTGTAAAGCTTTGCGTTATCAAATCAGATGTTTTTTAAATGGCTTAATCAAAGATCTTATCTGTGCTTTATCGAATAAGCTTTTCAGTAGTCAGATAATACTCCAAGCATAATGTAATAAATGTTTTCTAGAGTGTGTAGTACATTAAATTATAAGTTATTGTTGAATTTGCTTAACCTATTCATCCCTCCATCTTTTCATGGTGACATGAAAATAAATGGATTTCCTTGTTATTTAGGAACCTTCCTACTGTTTCATAGAAATAATTCTTATTACTTTATTTCACTTAAGTGATTGAAAATTTATATAAAATGAAATAAACAAACATCTGAGAATTTAATATTTTCGCCAATCTAATAGTCCACTGGAATAATTATTAAAATGAATAAACCATCTATCTTGAGTTTCATTGTTTTCTATACTCGTCGCTTTATAGACGTAGTCATTTTTGGACTATTCTTTCGGGTAATCGGCTGAATATATGAACCAGGTGTAGAACAACAAACTACTGTGATAGAAAACTAACCTCAGAAAAAATGTCACTGAAACAACCCATCCACCGACCCATGCAAATTTGTCTCCAAAAAATTTATGAAATGAACCGACTATTGAATTACGCGTGAAACGACCCAATGTATACTCAACAATTACAATTGGAACGGACCATAGATAAAGTACAAAAAACCAGACCAAGTAAAATGTTAAAGAACCTAAAAAAAAATTAAAAGATCTATTTTAAACATTGTATCGACATAAGTGACAGGGGATTAATACATTAAATACAAATGTTATCAGGTGGCTTAGAATAATTAGTGTTGTGGTGGTGTGATACAGACAAAGTGCTCCAACGGAATACTATTCTCACAGTTAGAATCATTGTATTTGTTGGTCTTAACGTCTGAATACTATTCCCGCAGTACAATATTGCCTTAGCAACAGAATACTATATATATATATATATATTAACATCTTATTTGCCGTTAGAGACAGATTAATATTCTGTTGGAACACTCTGTCTGTGTCACACCTCCACAATGTCATTAGAGGTTCACTAGTTGAAATGAAGCCTTACGAATAAAATCAGGAATAAAATAATTTCAGACTATTTGCAACTGTACCGGTTTTAAAAGTTGTCCATGTTCCTTCCACCAGTCATAGTCCCTAGTTAAGTAGTTATGATTTTATGAAATTATTATCTGAAAGTTTACACTGTAAGGTTATATTCGATAGTCCACTGACCACCTCTTTCGACAAATATTTTACTTTCGATTAGTATTTCTTCATAGCATTTTAATCAGAAGATTTCAGTGTGTGATTAATATACACAATTGGTCGAAACCAGTTATTGGTTTCCATTCCTTGAATATAACAGTGTGTTAATATGTTCATCCAAAAAGAGTAAAATGGAATGAAAAAAGTTTATTCTTTCGAATTTTCGTATTAGCGACAGTGTTACTGTTGTGTACTATGTTACTTCACAATGCCCAAAATCTGTAACCAAAAATGTTAGTTCCAATATAATAATTTATTAACCGATGCCTTTTAGAAACTCTCAACCATTAAGAAATATGATTTCATAGATGTTTTTTCGGAACATTTTGAGGTAATTAGAAGTTGAATTGGTTTTTAACTGAAAATGCTGTTATAGGAAATGGATTGTCTTCACTTCACATAGAAAAAAGCTGTGGAATCACTGTTTCATTTTCCTGATTTATATCGTTCGTCAAACTCAACGTTATCATCAGTAACGTAACTTGTTTGCATGAATTCGAATTAAATAAGAGTCCAATTGAAACCCCAGTATAAGTAGATGATTGTTTTCAACAAAACTACAAATTTCCATACAAATATAGTTTATCCTTCCCCCCAGCCATCACTTAACTGTTCACTACCCTGATATACATCAATTTCTCATTTTCCTGTTCTTGTGGTTATTCTTTATCAAAATACTATCCTATATTTTCTACTGAACACTCTTTCAATGAAAGAAAGATAATCCCTTGCATGGTTACATAACTCCTCAGGATATTTTCACTGTAATCTGGCATTACTTGAGTAACCAAAGGGAATTTCAGGCATACTGCTTATGCCTTTTTCATTCACATCAGCTAAATATCATACGTCAGTAAATTTTTCAGAAAAAATCAAAAAGGGTGAACTTCAGTTTTACTTTTTAATCTTTCGCCATACTGCACAAAAAGTGAGTTTAATATATTTTATTTTATTTAAACGTTTCAGTACTCAGTACAAAAAGTTTTACATGCTAGAAATTATTAATTCTTAGGCTATCAATAGTGCAAACGTGTCTTTGTGAAATTTAGTAAGCATACATCAAAATAATTATATTAATCCATTAGAATAATATTACAAACCTTTATCATAACTGTAGGTTGCTAAAATCCTTGGAAATCTCCAAATATTTCCAAAGCCAACCACACTACCCAAACATGTCAGTATTATTCCAAAACTAGAGTGAAATGTTGAGCCTTCATTATCCTCTACAGCTTTAGATTCATTCGACTCCCAAACATCAAAATCTTTTTGATTCTAAATAGTAAATAATTTAATCACGTATCATGATTCGAATAAAGAATATTAGGGGTTTTAAAGATTAATTAGATTTCTCATTACCTTGATATCTGTTTCACCGTTACCACTGTGAATGGTGATTTTTGTCACTGATGCTAATGACATAAAAGTTACTGTGGGATTGAATAATAACAAGTAAATATTACAATTATTTTCGTGCACATATATAAGTATATATATATATATATATATTCAATAGATTTTGTGAAATTCTTCTCAGAATATTTTTATTTGCTAATATCTTCAAAAAATTAATTCATTAAATTAATTTCTCATTCAGCATTCATTCACTGAACTCGACTACTTGTTTTTCTAACCGGATGGAAGCACTAACACCTGATAGAAATATATTAGCATATCATTAAGTTTATTTTTAAAAACAAAAGGGTGTAAATAAATATGTTCTGTGTCACATTTTTATGTAATACATTCTATAAGATCATAATTGTAATGCGTTCGTTAAATAGAAGACAACATTGCACTCGCTAGTGCCTACTATTCCTGATGATGATAGTGAAATACGTCTCGACTGTTACACAAAGTTAATTTTCTAATAGATGTGACAGAAGGTAATTCAGTTGATGTAAGCTACCTTTCCGATTATAGATGAACCCCTTTGATTCGTGGACTTGGGTGTTGTCCTCAGTATCCATCATAGGACTAGGGAATATCTTAGAGCATTGTGTTACATATCAACAACTAAAATTGGGTAAGTGTAACTACTCTAATTCCAAAGTCCTTATATGTTAGAATGATGTGATTGGATATTCTTAGAATTCTACGCTTAAAAAAGCAGAGCTTTCACAAATCTAAGGACGTTCCAATTTTTCAATGACCATACCACAAAAAACAGGTTTATTATTTATCTGTTATGTAAAAACAGTCGCTAATTTCAAAAAATAAACTTTTATTATTCATATATCAAGTTGTCTGTCTTGCAGTTTTTATTATTCATGGCTTGATGTTAATTTTTTTCTCATAAAAGTTGAGCAGATTATAAAATAAGAAAAGTTTTAGTAAAAAAAAACATGACATTCCTACTGCATACTACACAAGTTCACCTCTTCAGTATATGTATTTGAAGATTTCATTTCTGTATCTTTTCCTATATACTTTGTATTCATTAACGATTCTCCACTCTGTACGATGAAGGAAAGAAATCAAAGATGAAATAAAGCATACAGAGATCCATCCACCTTGAATTACTAAATCTCTAGTGACAAAGCCCTGTAAAGGTTTTTGTTATTTTCTGAATTTTATTCGCCAATAGCTTCAAGTTCACAGATTACATTCTAAGAAAATCAGTTGGATAAGGATCTTTTTATTTTTAAATTAATCCTTACGAGACCTGGTACAATGATACTCACAAAAACAAAAAGTATAATCATGTAACCCAAATCAGTGTCGATTAGACTACTTGGATATTCGATTCATTCACTCGAAGTTATCTGAGTAAAACTTGAAATCAGCGTCAAATTGTATGATCTATTTCTTGTTTTCGGCATCCTCCCTATAAAATTAAAAAGAGTAGGGCATATGTTCACCTTATTTCTCCAGTTCTCTTCATCACGGTCACTTTCTTTAGTTCATTCGGTACATACTTTGGATACAAAGCACTCTTTAGTATGATAAATCTGGTGAACACCCACCCCTTTCTTAGAAATATGCTGCAAAACGGTCTTAATGTAAGATGATATTCACTAGGATGTTTAATTTCATAGATCAGGAAATAGTGTTAACTGACATTTTCTCATTTCTCATTAGCCCAGAAGATAACAATTTGATGTTTTGAAATAATGGCTGCTGACTTCTTGTCTTAAAGTGGGAATATCGTCAATCGCTGTAATGTGGACACATTCAGCTGAGGTAACTCAAGTAGGACGAAACGCGTGTCCTGCTAACTACTATTGACAAAACATAAAGATTCCTCATTTTTTACTTCAAAAAGTATTGTCAGATGGCATTCGTAATTTGTTTAAATTAATGAACATATATAATGGCAGTTTCCAAATTTCATATTTTATTGTTAAATGGTAATTAGTATATAAGAATTTTGTTTAAAGTATTCTGAAATTCTTTCACAAAACGACAACATAGTCTTCTATTTTGTTCATCTTAAATTTATCTTAGAGTTATAAGATACTCATGTCAGCGTTCAACATCGTACATGTATGTTATAAGCGTAGATCACTACACACTCTTACACAGAATGATTAGTGCTTTCTAGCTGTGTCAACAGTAAGACTGTAAAAACATTTTTTTTTATTTACAGATAATCAAGGAAGAATTCAAAGGTAATAAGGTCTTCTACAGAATTAGATACAGAATAAATGTCTTACTAAAGAGGACCCCTCAGCTGTCAGTTTAACTGTTATTTACTGAGTGAATTCGTTACCGAAACAATTTAAACTCGATTAGTTTCTCTCTTATATCAGTTCCAATAGTATGCACCAATTTACACATAATCACCAAAGGATATATCTAGAACGCACTGCAATGGGGGATATTTCATCTTCTCTCTAACTACCTTCCAAAGAATTTGCAATGGGAGCTTCTATAAATCTTCAATAATGCGCTTAAACGTCATCTGATTGATAAACATCACAAAATAATTATTCCAATAACAAGTTGGTTCAAATCCGCTAAGTGTCACTGAAGTGATTGAATTTTTGTATTAAAAAGGAAATACTTTTTAAAATTTCCCTCTCGTGATGAATTTTCTTTTTTTTTAATTATATTAACGCTTTACAGTATTCATACTCTTCATTATTTGTTTTGATTGATACTTTCGACTTAATTGCCTGACTTCTACTGATTTCATTTTAATCTTTTTGATTGACTTAACTTTATAATTAGTACGTAATGATTAGTGTTAATTTTTCAAATGCTTCTTTGCTATTCAACTCCCTTTCCAAATTCTAGAATATCAGCTTGACATTTATTAGCAAGCTTACTAACATCTCTCTTATTTAGCATTTCGAGTTTGAATACGTGGCATTAGAACTCTCGCCGACCATGCACATGGTCCGGGGTTCGAGCCCACGCCGACGCACACCTGATATCTATGGTTGGCCTGCGAATTTTGGGCTACCGATATCCAAGCTGAAAATTCCACACTTGTACCAAAAATACGGTGTGGAATCAAGCTGTAACCAAAAATAAAAAAAAATAAAAAAATAAAAAAAAATGTCCTGTATCATGAAGTCAACTAATTACACTATGTAAGTAGCTTTGGTATATCCTGCGATTGAAACTGTCTTGGGCTGTACGCGGTTGACCAGAACCGAAGAAATATCAAACTACTGAACTTATTTTCATTTTTTTCAAGTTTATCAAGGATAAAATCATTAAGCACTGAGAATATGAACCATTTACAATCAAACAGATTGACTTTCATAGTCAGCTTTCTTGTTTTGCTTCACAAAAATCTGCAGGAAAGGTATCAAAACCAATAACCGGATAATACAAGAATATTAGTCATTTCTCGGAGTATAATATGCCGTGTCAGGCATTGAACTAAGCAGATTTTTACAATAGAAAATTAGGAAATTTGATGAAATGTTTCTGAACTCTATACATGGTATTAAACTGAAGTCAAATAGTTCATCTATCATGTGGTAATTAACTATTTCATTCGGTGTATTATTTAAATATTAATTTTTGTTTGTTTCTGTTTATTGTGTGCACACAATACAAATAATCCTTCCGAATACGAATTACTGATTTGTGTTCTGTTGGGGTTGTTTTTTGGTTTATTGGAATTCGGACACCACAAAGTACAATTACAAATGTAAGTGTAAACATACACTGTTCTGTGGAAAATTGGTTCTTTATTCGTCTGTCAGATCTGTATCTTTTGCATGACGTTGAGAATACAGTTTATTGATCATAGTGATATTATTTGTAACTCAACCACTTCAAAACTTGGTTTTCATAGTTCTCATTCTTCTTTTCCACTTGTTGTATGGGTAGTAGAACTTTCTACATCCCTTGAATAGTTCTTGATTAATTCCTAAAATAAGTATTTTTCAGTTGTCTATGTGAGCGAATTTAGATTTTAAATATCTGTAAATCGTACTTTTCTGGAAGTACCCAGCGCCAAAAAGGAGATTATCATGACAAACAATATGTAGCGGTAAATAATTCCCCAAAATTATTAACCATAACAATCATCACTCAACATTGGATGCTGACCCTCTCCGTTTAAGTCGACTTGTTTAGCTGAAGGCTTCCAGTTAAGCATCCATCCCATTTGGTACTCCGTCGTGTCACGTTCGTACACGATCACTAGCCAGCTAAGCATTCATCTCTGTCTAAGATATGGTCCCAAAATATATCTCGTAATTTGGACAACCAATTCACTTGTTTTGCTTTGCCTTTGGTCTACGAGAAACGAATACTATAGAAGTTGTTGGTATAAGACCCTGCGTCAGTATACTCCGTACAATTCGCGAACGTCAACACCGTCAGCCTCTAAAAGTGACAAGTATTACTGTTAGTTTAAACAGAATTATAACTAAATAATTAATTGACGATTCAGGTACAATATTTAGATGCCTTTATCGGAATTCTATATCCACTTCAATTCAAATTCCTTTTATAGTTGATAAATTGTAATCTGCTGAATAACTGAGTTAATATAATTCATTCATACATCTTATCAGTAGCCTGACCGGTCTACAAGGAAAAATCTAAGTCTCTTACGTCAACGCACGCAAGACTGTAACTCGGATGAATGGTGAAACTTCTCAGTTTTTCTGATAACCAAAAGCAGAAGCATAATTCTTGGCCCTTTCATTGAAGAGTTTCTCCTGAAGTTCAGTACTAAATAAAATTCTATGCTGTGTGTGTGTGCAGGTTACCACACTTAGGTAATTGACTACAACTGGTTGATAGACTGTTGACGAGACTTTGGTAACCGATTTGAGCAGCTTCTCCTTGGATATCGAGTATTAATCATGATAAGCCATTCACACAAATCACGTAGGATTATTTCATAAGAAGATTTTCTAAAACCCCATTCTAACTACGATGACAGCAACCAGACAGAATATAAAACAATCACAGTGGGTCGAAAGGTTTAACCTGTTGGTCTTATAAGCATA